CGTGCCTGCATGCTGGGGTGCTGTGTGGGGAGAGGGAGCCCCAGCATGCACCTCTTTGCAGGGCTGGAGGTTACATAAGGCTTGGCAATGCCTTCCTCTCCCTCCCCTTGGAACCCTGGGAGAGAGGGAATATGCCAACAGGGAGGCATTGAAGGAGGAACAGGCTGCCCTGCAGGCTCCACACTTGTTCTCTCTGTGCCAGCTCCCCTGCTGAGCAGTCACCTTTCTAGAGGCAGCAAGCAGGCGGCTCCTCTTGCCGCCACGGGGGCATTTCTGCTTCCTGGACAAAGTGTGCTCTGGTATTATCCCTGTTCCCTGGAGCTCATGGATACCTCTGGCTGCAGGAAGTACACTGAGCACTGTTGTACTCTGGTGCACTTCTGTTTCACACTTTGGATGACAAACTCCCCCTCTGGACATGCAGGCAAGATTAAAAAGCAGATTTTTCAAAGTTATTTAATACTACAAGATCAAGAAGAGCCACTCAGGATGGTAGGGAAGAACTGTTGGTGCACATCAGCTTACCTGTGTAAGAAGCATAAAAGTGAGAGGTGATTTTTTTTTATAATAAGATATATTTTTCAATGCTGAATACCATTGATGACTTGTCTCCAAATCTTGGTAGGACTAGTTCTTCACATTTCTGGACAACAGCAATACTCACAGCTAGTCAGAGATGTTCCTGAATGTCACATTCAACTGGATGTATTCTGGAGACACTACCCTGTAAATATGATTTCCTCCTCTCATTGCATACCTACTTTTTGGTGAGCAGTCATTAGATTCACCTTAACTTGATGAATATGAACAAGAAAGCTCTTAATTCATATTATTTTAATATTCCAATGAATTATTTAGTCTGCTTTTGAAGCACAGATATGAACATTCCTTGTCAAAAGTCTAAGTTTTGCCTAAAAGCTATTATTAATTTTTATTGGATATCAAAGGCAGAGCCATGGTGACTTCCCAACAGTCACAGTGCTGTGTATTTATTCATTTATCCCCTCTAAACCAAACCATTCTCCTTAAATATAACAAGCTTTATTGTTAATGGTAGAAAATTAACTGAATATGTATTTTTTGCCAAATCTTGTTTCTCTTTACTACATTATTTAAGTTATAAAACTCTCTTAGCATTCACATAGTGAAAAGTATATTGAAACTGTTAATTGTGTTGTTTTATTAGACACATGTACAAATTAAAATTGGAAATATCAACATTGCAATTGTCTGTGTGATGATGACCTCTTGTTTTCTAGTTTCACAACCAACCCATCAAGAACAAATCCCAAAAAGTTTAGGAAAGTAGTTCTGGAAATCCAGTAGAGAACTGGAAAAAATTACGTAGCTGGTGATATCAAGTGTATTTTAGGAAAATGAGTGTTGCAGTAATTTATTCTGCTCTAGGCAGTGTCATGAATCCATCATGGCACATAGTGAGAGAAAACATGTCAAGAATGCTGGAATACCTTTCCTTACCATGAGACACCCACACAAACTAATAATAGGAAAACATTCAATAAAGTAGAAAATAAACCTAATAGAAACCAAGTTAAGAAAAGTTGGGAAAGAATTTTCCAACTTCATCCTCTGTACCACGCACCTAAAATCTCTAAAGTTTTTAACTCCCTTCTTTTTCCACTAGAAAATCACACTATCAGAGGAGGCAAATTTTAGTTCAGTGAACATAAAGACACAGAAGTTTGAGTGGGAAGGGACCTTTTAAAAGTCACCTGGTTCAGCTTCCCTATACAGAAAATAGTGGCAAAACACAAAGCCCCGTCTTCCTCACACAGCTGAAGAGAAACAGTAAAATTACTGATGGGGAAGTCTAGGAAAATGTGTATTTTGGTGGTGTACTCTGTGCAGAGCAAGGGGTGGTCACCCAGATAAATTATCATTCCAGCACAGAAATATTTGTGAGCTGAGTGTCACAGAACAAGAGAAAGTCAGGTTGGCATCTTTCCCTTCATGTAGCTTCACTTGTTCTTTCCATACTGTGGTTGAACTTTCCATTTTATAATCAAGATTAAAACAAACAAACACAGACTAGGATTTTTTTTTTTTAAATCAAATTCTGTCCAAAACTTACCTGGGGTTCATGACTACACTTGTATCAACAGCTGTGGAAACTTAAAGTGACAGCTTGATTCCTGAAGCTTTTCTGCAACAGCAGTGGGAGTTTGGAAGCTGGAAAACTGTAGCTCTCCAGGCCTGTGCAGAGCCAACAGAGCACCACACACATACACAGTGTAAAGGTTGGAGCAGTACAGGTTAGCAGAAGCCCACTGAAGCTAAAGGAGAGTAAATTTTGTAAGGAACAGAGTAATTGAAGTCATCAGAGAAGCAAGAGAAGGTCTGGCCCAGACACTTTTCTCTGACTAGCCTGCCTTGCTTTTTCTTTTTACCCATTTTCTAATGGATGTTCCTAATCGGGTTCAAATGAGGTGTACCATCTCCATCTTGGCAAGCCTGACCTACTTCACAGGGATTAGCAGCTCCATGACATGTCTCCCCTGATTTAGGAACACTTTGTTCTCTTTCAGGAATGAAACCAACTCTGCCTTCTGCCTGATCAGCCTTTGCCTGAAATGCAAATCTCCTCTGTGTTGGATGTGGCTAGAAATTACTGATAAATTAGCTACAAAGCAAGTTTTTCTTTCCTTGTTCTTTGGAATTCACAGGAACACTCCCGTTTATTTGGAGCCTTCATTTTACATGTTGTTTCTCCTCAGCCCCTTCTTTTGTATGCTCTTTAATGGCACAACTATAATTATTCACCACCCTACACTACCACCAAATAAAATGTTCTTCAGCCTTCCCTTTAGCACCGGCAGTTCTTTGTCACATAAATTCTCTTAATTTGGCTCCGCCAGATCTCAACCCTCTCTCTGCTTTGGCCAATCACTCTTTCTTCTTTCCTAGAGAATCTATAGAAAGATTAGCATGTTTCCCCCAAGTTTTTCAAGTTCTTATTAGCAGCAGAAAAGGGGAAAAAAAGTCCTTTCTGTATTATCTTCTCACAAAGGAACATCAGCCAAGTGTGTGTCTTCTCTAATCATTTCTGCTGCTGTATTTTTTTTCTCTTCACTACATATCCCAGGTCTAAACACTGCTAAACCATCCAATTTTACACATTTAGGAAGGGCAATGATAAATTAGAGAAAGTTTTTTTTTCTTAATTTACAAATCAGAAAAGGATGAGAAAAATTGTAATATAGAGACTGAGTTCATGTAACACAATGAAAATATTACAATAATTGTGTTCTGAGAGGTTTTTACTTATTTAATCCTCAGCTAATTAATTGCAGTGGCAAGGTGGCTCAAAAAATTAAGGAATCTCTGCAGTGCTGGGAAGCTGTCAGCAAAACTCTTCTTTGGTAAGGGCAGATACTGTTGGAATACCTGCTGAGGAGAGAGTCACTGTATCATTGGGAGAGGCCTCATTACTCCTGAGAAGTAACAAAAGAGAAAAAATTCTGCCATGGTTCCATTTCTGCATAGTGGGAGTGGTGCTAGGGGCATCTTCTGCTTCTGCCACCAAATACTATTCCTGAATCTGTTTCAGTGAAAATAAACTGGTAAAGTGCAAAAAAATTCACAATAAACACTACTATTTCCTCTGCTGAGGTAACAAAAAGTGTGAATGTTTTACCAACAGGACTTACCAGCATTGTGTTGCAGGAACTGTTATTAAATTGTTCAGCACAAGTTACTTCCATGCCAAGATAATCTCCAGCCAAACAAAGATTTTCACAACAGACAAGAAGGCAGACTAAACCTGTAAGGTGATCTCTTCTAAAATTTTTTTCCCGGTCAATTTGCCAGGTTAACTAAAGAAGTCGATTTTTTAAAATCTCTATTAATTAGGAGTGCAATCATTCCTCTTAAGGGCAGGGCTGCTGTTCAGAGAGACCTGGGCAAGCCAAAAACATGGTGGCTGACAGGAATCTTAATGAAGTAAAGGGAAACATAGTGTTATGTGTCTGGGAGGGGGTGAAGAATACATCAAGAAGTTTCACTTCAACACGAGGAAGAAATTCTTTATGTTCAGGTTGACGTAGCGCCGGAACAGGTAGCCTACGGAGGTCACGGTGCATTCCTGTCTGTAGAGATTCCAAACCCACCCGCACACGTTCCTGTGTCACCTGCTCTGGGTGACCCCGCCTTGGCAGGGGGCTTGGACTGAGGTCTGCTCCACCCCGAACTACTCTGGGATTACGTGAGCCCGTGACAGCCCCTCGGAACGGGCGGCACTTACTTTAAGGCGATCCCGCAGCGCCGGTGCCTCACGGCACCCCGCCGAAGCCATTAGCGCTGTTTAACCACCTCCCACCACACCGCGAACGCGCCCGATTGCAAGCAAGCTCAGGGAGCCTGACCGAGCGCACTGCAAGCCGCGGCCGCAGCAGGTGCCCGAGAGCCCTGTTGGAGCAGCAGCGAGTGCCCCGCACGGCTCAGGGCCTGTGCCCGGGAGCCCTGTTGGAGCAGCAGCGGGTGCCCCGCACGGCTCGGGGGCTGTGCCCGGGAGCCCTGTTGGAGCAGCAGCGGGTGCCCCGCACGGCTCAGGGCCTGTGCCCGGGAGCCCTGTTGGAGCAGCACCGGGAGCTCCGCACGGCTCGGGGGCTGTGCCCGGGAGCCCTGTTGGAACAGTAGCGGGTGCCCCGGACGGCTCGGGGGCTGTGCCCAGCCATGAGGGGCGGGCGGGGCGGGAGGAGCCGCCCCTGCCCCGCGCAGGCCCCGCCCCCGCGGCGGCCGCTCCTGCCCCGACTTCCTGAGGGCGGGCGGGCCGAACATGGCGCCGGGCCGCTGGCGCCACGGGCGGCGGTTCCTCCGCGTTGTGCTGCTCGTAGCGCTGATGGGTCCCGCCGCCTGCTTTTCTTCCTCCTTCTACAGCCCCGGCGAGCCGCGGAGCAGCGTGCGAGTGCTGTGCGGCTCCAACTGGAGCCTGGTGTTGCAGGGCCAGTGGATGCTGGAGTTGTGAGTAGCGGCCGCTTTCCCGCCCGCCTCGGAGGCAGCGTGGCCGGGAGGGCGAGAGGGGTTCCCTGCGGGCATGGCCGGTGACTGCAGCCCCGCTGTGGGGAGAAGGGGGCCGGGCCGGCCTTCCCGCCCTGCGGAGGGGCCGAGCAGCTTCCCCACCCCGGCAGTGGCTGCCGGGGACGGCGTGAGGGAGGCGGCGGGCGGTGCCCGCAGTCCCCTCCGCCAGCCCTCAGCCGGCGGGCACACCCTGGGCTCTGCCGCGATGGCCGGGCAGAACCCCGCAGGTTCCCGGCCTGTGTGGGCACAGAGTGCCCAAGGTTAAACGGGTCACTCCAGACAGAGGGGAATGAGGGATATGGAATGAAGGACGTGGAGGTGTTGGAGCGAGCCTAGAGCAGGCCACCAAGTTGATCAGAGGGATGAAACATCCCTCCTTTGAGGAAAGGTTGAGAGCATTGGGCTTTTTCACCCTGGAAAAGAGAAGGCTTTGGGTAACCTAACTGGGGCCTTCCAGTTCCTGAAGGGAATTTACAGGGAAGATGGGGAAAGACTGTTTACAAGAGTGTGTCATGACAGATCAAGGAGGAGTGCCTTTAATCTCACAGATAGTTGGGTTAAAGTGGATATTGGGGAAGAAATTATGTACTGTGGGAATGGTGAGGCCTGGCATGGGTTGCCCGGAGAAGCTGTGGATGCCCCATCTCTGGAAGTGTTCGAGGCCAGGTTGAACAGGGCTTGGAGCTACCTGGTCCAGAGAAAGGTGTCCCTGCCAGAGAAAGGTGTACCTGCCTGTGGCAGGGGGTTGGCACTGGATGGTCTTCAAGGTCCCCTTCCAGCCCCAACCATTCCGTGATTCTGTGAAGCAGATGTCCCTCAGGTTCTCATCTGAGTGTCCAAGGTTAAATGAAATGGGTCACTCTGGGAATAGTGTCCAGAACTGCCCCTTGCCCCACTCCCCCGTTGGGGGCTGCCGCTGTGTTCTGTGTGAGCTCCAAGAGGTCTGAATTCTGTAGGGCATATTTAGCAGGAATAGGCTTCTAAAGCAGTATTACATAACATCCTAGCCTTGACTTGAGCTCAGAGTTCTCATTCAAGGGAGGTGCATCAGATTTCATTAACTTCTGACTGACTGTACTGGAGCAGTGGCTTTGGCTGTGACATGACACAATTCCTGAAATGCACGTGACTTTATTTTTGGTGGAGCCTCACTCACCTGCTTGTGTTTAGAAGGGGGGAACGGAGCTTGAGGGGTTTTTTTTAAGACACAAATGAATAAAAAATTAGTTTAAGTAGGCAGTACAGTCATGTGGTACCTGTGGGCCGTGCAGCTATAAAATAGGATTATATTGTTGCATGTGTGCTACTCTGTGCAGGTGCTTGAGTTTAAAACAGTTTGAACATCTGAACTCGTGCTCCCTCCTAAATACTTAGCTAGCTACTTAAAGCTTTGGCTTGCTCTTGAATTTGGTTTCTCTCCAGTCTCTTCTTAGCGAGATGGACTATCACCTTTCTTAGGGCTTTGGTGTTCAGGATCCTACTGGACCCTGGTGTTAATCAGTGAATGGGTGGTAACGATCTTGAAACAGCTGATAGTGACCCAGGGATGCCAGCTGTTGTGGTTGAGGATTTAGAATGGCTTTTTGTCTCTCTCTTCATTTGTTGTGATCTAAAAGGTGGAGGAAAAAATAAATTGATTCTAAATTGAAGGTTTTTCACTTAGTCCAGTGTGGAAGCAATTGTATGAAAGTTACCGATTCATACACAGGTTGGTGAGTTTTAAGGAGGAAGGTTATTTATGGTGACTCAACTTTTTTTTTTTCTAAAAGAAAATAGTTAAATAACTAGTGGTGTGTGCCTCTGAAGAAGAAAAAAGAGAGGAACTGACTGAAATCAGAAGTGGTTGGGGTAGCAAACAATTAGAGTCCTTTGGAAGCCTTTACTCCAATTGAAAAATTGGTCTTTGGTTCAGAGTGAGAGGTTGCTGACCACAGCAATGGTAGCAGAGTTAGCTTTAGTGTTAGCTGGGCATAGTACATGTTGCTGCATTGCTTAAATCAGACCCTAATTAATTTTATTTCAGTGTTTGATGTGTGAAAGATCCTTGGGTCTCCACGCTATTTCCTGTGGTTCATTAGTGGTACTTTCTGCTTTTCTCCTGAGAAGGAACCTTTGTCTTTAATGAGGATGCAAACTCAATGCTGCTGGTGTGAAATTAGTGGGAGTTTGAGCTCCAGGACTGATTTTTAAATGTTTTCCGGGCAAAATCTGGTCCGTGATTTTTCCCCGATGTGCTTTCTGGGTGAAATCCGATCCGGGTTTCCTCCCCATCCCTGCTTGTGGTCCTCATCATCAAAATATCTATAAGAGAAGGGAGAAAATTCAATTTTATTTTTGGAGTGAAGCTGGGGCAGGCAGAATCTTACAGCCAGTGAGTTTTTCCGTGGGCAGCAGCTGCATCCCTCTTGCCTAAATATTCCTTATTGGGCTTGTGGCAGAAACTCTGAGTGAGAATGGTCTGCCCAAGTGACTTCAGTGGGGAGATTCAGCAAACACAGACTAATCAATTCTTGCAGCAGTTTCCATTCTGATGGATTTTGGCTTCTACTGATTTTTATCTGCTTTAGAGTTAGTGATCTAGACAGGAGTCCTGCATGTCAGTCCACGGATTCCTTCCATACTGTCTCAGGCTGGTTGGCAGGACTGCAGTAATGCTCATTAAAACCTCATTTGTTTAAAGAACTTCCTATTTATTTACAAGACCTTTATTTTCTGAGCAGTACTTTTTAAAATGCAAATGTTACTCTGGCATCTTCATGAAAAAAAAATATTTTCATCAGCTGCTCTTTTGAAGCCTCTTGCCTTGGTAGGAACAGGTACAGCTGCTGTTTAATGTCAGGGGTTTTTTTGGGAAAGTGGAAAATCACTGTTTAATTCCAGCTTTTTGTTCTTCCCAGGTACATAAATAAAGAAACTTAGGCTTGAAATTGCTTGTGTGTGGCATCTGTAGCAGAAATAGGATTTTTCTTCTCTCATTCCCCCTAGCTGAGGTGTGTGTACTCAGCTGGCTTTTTGTAAATATGTCGTTATTCATAGTTGGAAAAATTGCAGGCCCTGGAAGCGCTGCTGCATTTTATTGATAAAAATGTTTTGGAGAAGGTTCTGTATCTGCCAAACATTGCACCGTCTTTTGGATGTTGTTACTAGCACAGCACACAGGTCCAGGTTGGAGTGCTGTGAATGAGCTGTGTTTAAAAGTTTCCCTATTTCCTTATCTCTGTTCTGTAGCTGTGAGACAATGATTCATTAATATGATGAGTTTTCTTTTTGTTTTTAATATTGTGTCTGTTTGGAACACATAAAACTAATTTCTGGTCTGCTTACTTAAAAGTGCATTTTGCATTTGTAAACAAAACTTGATCCAAACTTGATTTATCTTAACATCCTCTTTGTTTTGAATTAAATTAGCACAGGCAAAAAACCAAAAAAACCCAACCCATCTATGAACTTGTTGTCTTTGTGCCTCTGGTTACAAAAGAAACTATTTATGCTCTTGGTGCATCTGCAGTACTTCATATGCTTGTTCCCAAGTACGATGTTAAATGTTTTGCTTCCCCTTTGTTTCAGCACAGACTTACTGCTGTGTGTACCTGAAAAATAATGTCTTCATTGTCCATTTTAATTCTAACCAGGTGAAAATCCAGAGACCAGTTAATAGTCATGTTTCCAAGTTTTATTATACTTTTAGTATAGGCCCACAGTTTTTATTTTTTGTCACTTACCATTAAACATTGCCCTGCTGTCTCCGTGGCCAGCTCGTTGTAAGGGTTCAGCCCTCCCACCAGCGCCTTTAGTCTGTAGCTTCAAGGGAGTGTGCTAAAAATGCAACAATGTTTTGGCATGTGGATGGCTTAATGCTTTTAATCACTTGGCTTGAAATATTTTGTGTAAATAAAATCCCAAAGGATGTGCTAAACTATGTAACAATTACTGCCAGGTTTAGAATTCAACAAGATTGAGAATTTTTTGTCACTTAAGGGTGTCTAGGCTTTTACTTGTTAGTGTCCAGGCTTTTCTTTGTCCTATTCTTAAAAATACCCAGCAACCCAAAACCTAATAAAAGCCAAAAAGCAGAGGGAATGAAAATCAAGTTATCAAACCTCTGTTTTGGTTTTGAAGCCTCTGCAGCTCTGCTGGCTGAATCCAGAGGAAGTGACCAAACATTTTATTTAATAACTGAACAGCTGAGTGCTGTGGAGGGCATTGGCTGAACAAAAACTGCAAAAATGTGATGCTGAAATACCCTTTGTAGCAGAAGCAAAACAAAACAGGTGCAGAAGGGGACATAAAAATATGTAGAATGACAGAACTTAATCTGCTGAAGCTCTAGAATAATTAGCATATTTTTTCATTGATTTATTTGCTTTTGATTTTAAAAAAATTTTCTCTTAAAAAAAAAAAAAAAGCCTTGTCTGGTTTGGAGGGGTTTGGCACTCGGCAGGGATCTCCTTGACAGCTTCCAGGGCTTGTCTTGTGATACAGATCCGGGTAAATGACAGGGACCAACTTCTGTATCTTTGGCTGCCACCTGCTCAGTTGAAAAGTCATTAAAACCACACAGTTGATCTGGAGCTTTTCTTTTGTTGGCATTACAAAGCTGCCTATCCTGCCCCAAGACCTAGATGTGTTTAGAATTGTCTTTTTTTTTTTCTTTCATTTTGTATGTTTGTGAGATCTGTAACAATAAGGCAAAACTATTTAAAAAAATAAAAATAAGAATTTAATTCTGATGCTTCTTGTACCATTCTGTTGGGTACTGTCCCAACATTTTTGCTCTTATTTTAATAGCATTCACAGTATGAACTCCATCAAGCAGCTTAGTTTAAGCAAGTTTTGCTGTTTTCAGTTTAGCACATCCTCTCATGCCTATATCCAGAAGCTATTTTTTCTTTTTCCTAGATTGGTGCAACTTGGTGAAATTGCCATTCGAGCAAAGTGTGGAATGGTACTCGAGGTTACATCTGTTACTGTTGGTAATGGTAGTGAAAAGGCAGGTAAAAAGAGTCGGTGAAGTGTACTTAGAAAGGAGCGAAATGGTGAATTCAGTAGCCAGGCAGGTGCAAAGAAGAGAGAGAAGTGGCTCAGAGCTCGAAACTGTATCAGTACATCTTAGCAAAGTTCCTCTGCTTTACTGATCTACTGGGGATGATACGGTAGAATGGCACCTTTGCTCAAACTGGTTTCCACTTGACTGGGTTTTTTTGTACTGCCTCAGTGAAGTTGTTGGTATTTGAAAGCCAAAGCTTGTTCTTTTGTACTTTAGATCAGAGATAAATAGAAGTCAAAAGCAAAGCCTGAGAGCTTCAAACTTTGCTTTTCAACTGCTTTCTTTGTGCCCTCTGCAAAAAGCTTTAGGTATTGTAATGGAGTAGGAGAAACACCTGGATACTTGAAAATAGTGATTTTAGTTCACTGAGGTCAGTCGTTGTTGCAGTGATAGATGTTTGCTGCCGTTTTTATGGAGGGCTGACAGAGTGTGAGAGCATTTCAGCTGTAAAACTGTGCTATGGAAGAGGTCTGGAAGCATCAGGAATGAGGTGTGTGTTGAGCAATGTGCAATACCTGTTTTTGTGAATAGTTCGGCAGTGTGTCACTTTTAGCTATGATGGAGATCAGCAAATTGCCTTTTAATGTGTAACAGGCTACTGGAAGCTTTCTTTCCTTAACAGAGTTCCCTAGTCTTGATTTAAATTTCACAAGACGTTGTCACACTTCTTGCACTGCACCCTGTGCCCTGCAGGTTAATAGAGCTACCCCCTTATGCACAGGGAGAAGGGATGGGAGTGACAGCCCTAAATTTGGTGGTGTTGACAAAGTGCTAATTGTTTCCCGGCCTGTTTGGAGTATGGCAGAAGAAATCTGGTTGCATCTGCTTTTGCTGGGGACCTGCTCTTGCATTTTGTGCCTTGAAAAGTAACAAAGACTGGTTCCTCAGCAGACATGAGGGTCTGTTTCCCTGCTCCTACAGATGATATTTTTTTTTTTTCCTTGAATTCAAGAATGGTAGTTGCACCATACTTTCTGTGGAAATGTGAATCTGCCGCTGTTCTAAAGACCTTGTTGAAATCAATTACTTCCCTCAGTCCTTCAGGGTGCAGGAAGTTTTTTGCAACTTTTGATAAATATGTCCTAAGTGTGAGATATTTTACTCTTCAGTAACTTACCTTCTCTTACACTTTTTCAGTATTTTAAGACTTGGAAAGAAACGCAATAAAGCTTTGGTAATGTAATTTTTGTTTTTATATCCAGGAGGCAGTCGTTAATTCCTGATGCCTCAAATGCTGCACAACAAATGTAGACATGAAAGCTTCAGGAAAGTGAGGGTGTTGAGGTAAACAGCAGTGCTAACTCTTGCAGAAATCTGATGTATTTTGCAAGTTCTCTCTTGAACATGTGGGGACAGGCTGTTTCCTGGCTGGCAAGAACTAGATGTGTAATTTCAGGAACGTAAAGCAAGTATTTTAATCCTGATTGTCTGTGCCAATGTTCAGCTGGAGTGGCTGGATCTTGCAGCATTATATGAAGCTATTGCCATCCCATGTCCAATATTGATACTAAAAATTAGACAGCCAACAACCACAGCTTTTTGTGAACTTCACTGTGATGTCCTGTCACTGCTGAACTGTGACATGGGTAGGTTTTCGTGCTGCTTTGAACTAAAGGAAATATTTTCAATCATATGAGTATTAGTCGTGTATTGAATATTCCACTTCATTCAGGTGAAATGCTCATGCAGGTCAAATGTAAATATAAATTTTGATGGGTTTGAAATTTCTATTCCAAAATCAGGATGATAAATAGGATGTATTAATTTTGAAAATCTCGTGGTGTGAATTTGAGACATCTAGAGAAGTTGGATTTAGAAGACAGTCAAACTTCTCTCTTTCATTTTAGATCAACACCAGCTGCATTATCTGATGGATGTTTGCAGGTTCTTATTTATCAATCAAGCTCTGTAATAAAAGAATCCCGTTTGTGAAGTGCAGTATCTGTCAGACTGTTATTAAAAGCTCTCTCTGGGCCAGCAACACCATGGAGAACATTGCTGCCTGTGAGACTTGTTTCCAGCATCTTTTGGAAAGATACCGAGGGGCTGTCTGTGGGCAGGATAAGATTCATGTCCTTTTTGCAGATGCCTTCACACAGAATGATGTTGACTTAAATAGACAAGATATAGGCTTTCGCAGTTAGACTCATAAATTTCTAGTACAGTTAAATAAAACAAGTATTTTTAATTTGTATCCTTTAAACTGCCAAGTGACAAGATTCCCTTTTTTAAATACAGAAGTTTAAAAACAACCACAAAGCACTCAGAGTACATTTAATTCCACCTCTTCTGTGAGAAATGACCTGTTTCACATTAAACTTTATTAATGTGAAACATCTGGGGGTGCCTGGGAATATCTCTGTCTGCAGCCAGTATGGAAGTAAGTATTCTTGCCAACAGCCAGAGAGTCCCTAGGTCACACAGCAGTGGTGGCAGAGAAACCAAAGGAGTGGAGAACCTTGTGAAGGTTCCCAGTGATGGTTTAGTATTAAGGATCTTGGAATCTTCCCAGGAGGGAATGTGTTTCTATGGTTTGCAATGGTTAGGGAGCGTGGTGGCTTCTGTGGAGCCCTGTTAACCAGGAGAGTGTCCGTAGACTCACTGCTTTTATGGTGGCATTTGTGGAGCACTGTGACAAGGAGAATGTCCCTAGAATCACTGCTTTTGCTGCCAGAAACCTCCATGCCTGCCCTGGTAAATCAGGTTAAACCCCATAAAGGTCTCTCCTCATTAGCAAAAAGGCTGAGTCAGTGCATGGGCAATTGCCCCAGCTCAGTCTGTACCTCCCAGTCCTGGTTCCGTTCAGTGTTTCTATCAGACCTTGGCAAGTCGAATAAGTTTCATGCAGACTTGGCCAACCAAGTTAGGCTAAAATACAGAAAGGTGGCAAAAGGGATTTTATCATCAATTTTATCTGATGTTATCCTTTATATTAGCTGCTCTGTTTCCAGATTGATATTACCAATAGATGCAAAATTGGTTTAATTCTTCTGATTAAGAGTGTAGAAAATTCAGCTCTTGAAAAGAGCAGGCCTATTTTTCTGAAATGAATCCCGGGTAAAAACAAGACAGTAAGTATGAGCATCAGGAATTTGATGTGTGCTCTTTTCAAGTCTCTCATGACTGCTATCAAAAAGAGCATGGTGTGATGTATGGAGTAGTTGGCTAAGGCAAATGCAATTTTGGGAAGTTCTGAGGTGTGGGAAATCAATACAAAATGTTGTGATGAAGGATACTGCTTCAGAGAACAGCCGGGCTTCAATAATTCAGATAGCTGCCATGGAAATGTATTTTATTTCCTATGTAAATAGAATAAATCACAAGTGGTAAGGAGTCTGGATATGAATTTCTCAAATCTGTGATTTGTTTTGTTCTAATAACATGGGGAGGAACATAGAATTGATTAAAAAAACTTTGATTGTTTTATTCCGTAGACTTGATTAAGAAAAACTGTAGGTTTTTTTCCTTTGTGATTGACGTGTTTGTATATTCTCTGTACAGTTAATCAATTTGAATGTCTTTAAGTGTAAGAGTATTAAAATATTTCCCCTGTCTTCCCCCTCCAGTTATGCTCCTTGGTGTCCAGCCTGTCAGCAGATTGAGGCGACCTGGGAGAGCTTTGCAAAGGAGAGCGAGCGGCTCGGCATCACTGTTGGAAAAGTGGATGTCACTCAGGAACCAGGTACAGCATGAAACAGAGTGCTTTAATAACAGGAATTATTAGATACAGCTACCATTTACTGTTTATTTAGGCTTCAAAGACAAAATAATGTTATCCATACTTTGTTTCTCCATACAGTTCATATTTCTAAACTCAAGTTTATAAACTCAATTTGAGGGATTAAAGAATTGGGGTGGGGGGGTGATCTGGCTTAATGCTGACTTAAAAGAGGCTTATTCTCTATTTTAATCTTCATTGGAAGCTGTTACCTGTCTCATTTCTCCAGCTTGTCTGTAGAAGATTCCAGCTCTGTAGCCTCCCGTTAGGAGAATTTCAGGGTGTGGTAGAGCAAGCCTGCTGTTTCCAGCATGTTGCTGGTTTATTGACTGCTTTAAATGTGGCAGTGCTTTATATTATAGATGTTATTGCTGTTACCTGTTGGTGATGCACATATGCAAATATGCTTATAAAAATACGTCCCTAACTGTTCACAGAAGCATGAGTGCAATCTAATATATTCCTTTGGTGACTCCCTTCAAAGTTTTGAATGTGTCTTTGTACAAGCAGTATTAATATTGTATAAACCTCTGCATCTCCTGGGAATGTTTCATGCTTGTTTGGGCTTTGAGGGGACAAAGGATTTTATCTGCAGTATCAAAAGACTGATAGATGAGATATTAGGGGAAAAAAGGCCAGACTTTACTGATTTTTCTTTTTGCTTTATAAAGTGTGTGAAAAATATGTTTATTAGTTGAATACATGCTGAACAGATTTACTATATCAAAACTCTTGTCTCAGAATAAGCAATCTAAGTTGACAAGAAAATGCCAGCTGTTCTAGACCCTGTGTAGGTTCATGTCTTGTTAAAAGTTCACAAGTATACAAAAAATCTGGTATCAAAAAGCTGCATATACTAATCATTATATAGTGTAATAAACAGATGAGTTTTAATACTACCTAGTTTAAATAGATGTAAACTTAACACTTGAATTTCTAATGTTGCTGAGAGTCCTGACCCCCAAGCATGGGCTTCTTCTGAGTCAAATGACTGACCAAAATGATGAATTTGTACCAAAGCTCATGTCATAAACCTACAACATCCAGCTCAGCACTGGAAGCTGCAGGCACTTCTAGAAGTAAGGAATGCTCAAACTGGAAGACAAACATTTATTACGTATTTGACCTTTGGTGCTGATGTAATTTGGAAGATACAAGTTTCTATGGAGCTCTCTAAAGTTACTGAGATATTTTTACAGTGGGCTTTGTATCAGCCTTTCAGTTGTGTTTAAGTGCTCTGTCTCCTTTCTTGCTTGCACAATGGTGCTTTAATTAGTCTTAGTTATGTAACCCCTTCATTGAATTGAAAGTAGTCAAAATGTGTTAAATTAGGGGAAAACCACGAGATGAGTGCAGAGTTACATAAAATTGCACAGCCTAAACTGGCAGGAGAAAGTGGCCATTCATGGTGCTTAATTGCAGGAGATGCCTGAAGAATGAATCCACCAGAGTCTTAATGGCTTCACAGCAGATTTCAGTCCCTTGATGTTTCAGCCTTGAAGTGCTTCCTCTTGCCTCATTTTCTCCACTGAAATGTTCAGTGTGGAACAAGCAAATAGTGGAGATGCTTCTGGACCCTTAAATTCTGCATACTTGTGGTGCCTTTTTTAAGCTCCTCATCACAACATTTACCTGTGAATTACAACAAGACTTCTTGGATCTTCTGTCTGTTTTGAGTTGTTGGCTGAAAGCAGCTAGAATTTTAGATGACATCTCTATTCTCTCTAAGTTTTGAAAGGGTTTTTTAGTTTTTGGTTAACTGCTGATTTCATAGTGGATTTCAGTTTCTGATTTGCAGACAGAGACAGATGCTTAACTGTAGCAAATTCAAGATTGTATTAAACAGACACCAAAACAATTTGATATGTTCTTAAATTTTGTAGCTGACTTGCATCTGGTTTTACCAGTCTAGGAATGTGCCTTGGATAACCAGCAAATCTCCACCAAAAATATTGGGGAGCTTAGATGCATTTCATAACTTACAGATTTCAGAGTTGCTTCTTAGGTGTTCACTCTAGGATAGGCCACAGGTCAGAGATTTGTTTTATTTCCTTTGCCTGAGTGGCATTTTAAGAACTTCAAAAAGCGTGTCAGTGTTACATGACTTTCTCTGTTAAGCTAATTATGTTCTTTGTGACTCTCCACCCAGTTCTCCTTGTGCAGCTGTGCTGTCTGCTTTATTAATTATGCTGTTACACTTGTGGGTTTGTTTACTTTTTATCTTCTTGTGCTGGCACAACTTTTAGCTGTTTCAGGAAGTTTTTCATCACCCTGCCTCTTGTAGCAATAGAGGCAGAGAGCTCAAACATTGAAGTAAGAGGCTTTCCTTTCTGTAACTTTAAAGATCATTTGCTTTACACATCTTTAAACAAAATACCAAACAACAAAAAATGCCATAACCCTTTTTTGCCTGTTCCATAGAGGAATTCAAATGGAGGAAGACATTACCACTGAAACTTTTAAAAATACCTGGCTTATTTTGGTATGGCTCGTCTTTGTCTCTAAAGGCAGAAACCCTCTTGCTCCAATACTTTTCCATGGCTAATCCCATTGCCTAGAGTTGTTTGCTTTATTGAAGGCTGTATAAGGTCTTAATTTCCCAAAAGATTTTCACAGAATTTTATAAAAGGCAAAGTTAAATAACCGTACTCTTTACATTGCTACTTTATATGAATTGCAGTTTCTGCCTGTAGGAATTCAGCCCTTTCTAATGGACTCTGAGTGCATCTAATGCTGGGCTGGTCCAAAACTTCAGCTGCCTGCAAATACTGAGGAGACAAATCCATTGATGAGGAAAATTACCTCTCAATAAACATTCTTCAAGCTAAACACTTTTCTTTAATTTATAACCAATATTTAGTATCTGTTACTGTTTGTAGCATATATGAAGACAAACTGTTAACCTATATTTACAAAACAATGGTGAAAGCTGTGCAGCCTGCTCTAAAATACAGATATGTTGGTATTTATAGAAAAGTCAGAATGCTGAGAAATTTCAGTGTTACTGAACTGTTTGTGTGGTTTTCTTCCCTTTCTAGGCCTGAGTGGTCGTTTCTTTGTCACAACACTTCCTACAATTTACCAGTAAGTGTGTCATACTGGAAACTGCAGATACTGACTCCTTGTCACTTGATTTAATCTGTAACTGAAAACTAGGGGAAAATGAAGGAATAGTGACTTTTGATTTTAGCTCAGGTTATTGTAGCTTTGATTGCATGGTGAAATCCTTATGTGAGGCTTTTCTTTAGTTTAAGTTTCCCTGTTATCCATGCTATTAAAAATGGAGCAGAGAAGACATTTTCTGTATCTCTTCTCCAATAAGGTGATGCCATCCTTAAAATATTGAAGCCTTCATTAAGAGTATTACGAGTTGTGCAGATATACAAAAAAATACGTATATATGTGCACTTTTAATTCTTACTTGTACTTTGAAATGGTTTGGTTGTTAACCTCATGTGCTTTGTGTATTTGCTGTAGCACCAGTGAATAGTTAAGAAAAACAGCAGTTTTATAAATGGCAAAACCCCATGCTATTTAAAAACTGAGATTTTCCATCAGGGATTACAGTTCCCAAACCCTCAGCTCTGAGGAAGTGAAATCTGTAGTATATGTGGGGGTTTTGGTTGGGTTTTGCACCCCAGAGTTCGGGGGCTGTCTGTGCTGATGGGGGTTTATTTTGCAGTGCCAACGATGGAGTGTTTCGCAGATACCGCGGCTCCCGGACCTTGGAAGATCTTCAAGGCTATATCCTAGAGAGGAAATGGGAAGCTGTGGAGCCTGTAGCAGGATGGAAGTCTCCATCTTCTATAATGTAACAGTTGGTTTTTGTTAACAAGAATGTGTTTTATATCTCATTATTCATTGAGGGTCCTTTGTTGACAATTTAAAGACAAAAGGCCTTTATTTCTTAGACTTGTAGGCTTTGCAGAAGCCATCAGTATTGACAGCTTGATTCCCAGCTTCTCACCTATAAAGACAGCTTATTTCTGCATTTGCTTTTGTTTGTGCATCCTAGGGCTTGTTTATGTCATCTTTGAAAAGAGATAAAAAGAAAAAATATAGCCACTGAGCATTATGTAAAGTGTCATTTCCGGTATCTGCTGAATCCTGGAATCAAGCGTGTGTTTAATGTAGATTATTGCTTCATGACTTCTGGCTACTGGCAGCCTTGAGCTTTAAGGATTTATTTTTTATTTCTTTATAAGAAATAAAGAGAGACTTTTGTCTCCCTTTGGAGTATAGGATATATAAGAATTTGTTTTAAGAGAGAGAGATTTGCCTAGAAATACTGTAGAAAGCTTTCATGACAAGAAGGATGAACCAAAGATGTGACTGGCCTGCAGTTCATTCTGGCTGAAGCCATTATGTATAAATTCACATCAAAGATCTGGAGAGGGTCCTTACTTTTCATGTGAGAATGAAGAAGAGCTGTAGGATATTTAGGAATGGGGAGAGGAGCTACAGGGCTGCTGTGAACCTGTCCTTCCATTTCCTTATTTTCCAGGATGCATGGCATGGCAGGGCTGTTTCACTTCTCAGGATGGATCAGGGTAAGTAACTGTATAATGTTTTCCATATTCCTTTTTATGCTTAGGATAATCATATGTTTAAAAATCAATACATAATTGAATATTTTTATTATCCTTTTTATGAGAGTTGCATCATGTATTGCACAGGAGAAGGGAGGGCAAGGGGGTTTTTTAGTAATAATTTCTGTGTCTGGAAATAACTGTCAGCACCTCTTGGGTAGGAACATGATTAATTTAGATAATAGAGTAATTATCAGACGTAAAGGAGAAATGCTTAGCTACACTGAAGTGTGCTTTAAAGTATTAAAGCATATTTTACTTTAAAATGTTTCAAGATGTTTTCATTTGGGAACTTTCCAAGTTTTTCCATGGCATCCAAATATTGAGAATTTTCAGATTCTGTTTAGGAAACATCCTCTTATAACCTTTGAGTGTCAGTGAGATTGAGAGACTTGATTTGCAGCAAAATATGTTACTATTGTAACCTGTGCTTCAGAAAAGAAATGTAGTTGAGAGCTGGAACAAGTTTGTATCACTTCTACAAAGCACCACACTAACACAGAATCAAGCAGAGCTCTGAGTTGTGTATATTTGATTATTTCACTGGACAATATTTACTTTTTATAGCCTTCTGATGTTTCTCTTCCTTGGTTACTCTGAAGTGTTGTTATTTCTCTATAGTCTCCTTCCTGAAAGATTAACTGTCCTGGGAAGAAGCCTCTAATTTGTCTTCCACTTCAATGAATATTTCAGGTGTAGGTTTCTTCACTGCTCCTGCTCTGCTGTCTTTGCTTAGGCCTTAATAAATATCAAAAGATGTTCTGACATTTAAAAAGAAGACTCTGGAATTTTCGTGTTTAAACTCTTGTAAATGTTGATTGCGGTTTGTTTTGAAAGAGATTTAATGTCATAATTGACTTCCTACCAGCTCACTGACTCGATGCACTGCTTGACTCAACCAGTTGAATTTCTAAATTTGAGGAAGTTTGAAAGAAATCTTAATACTGTATTTGGGTAATTATATTTAAATTTATAAGTGAAATAATTTATTTAGTGTATGATTAGAGCATGTGGCTCCTTTTAAGAGCTAAAAAGCTTAACTAAGAGCTGAATGGCTTCATTTTAGTTAATGAACAGATGCCATGTAGGGATGAAGGATTTTGTGATACTTTCCTGTAAGCTCTATGACTCCTCATCCATCTATCTGCAGTAAAGGTTGTGTGTGGCATCTGTAATGCTAGTGTCTTAAGGAGAAGGAATTGTGCATCCTCTGCTTAAAAAGCCTTTTAATGTGAACAAATCAGTAAAAACCTCCAAGATTTAATGGTATCTAAAGGGGAAGACTTCAGTATAAATAATGTTAAATGAAAGATCTTAATCAGACAGCAATTCATGTAATGATATTGGCAGTAGAAATCCTAAGTGGTTTTAGGTATGAAGTTATGAAGTATCTTGTTCTAATTTCCAGCAAATTCATAACTACCTCACTGGCACTCTTGGAGTTCATGTTTGGATTTCCTATGCCATCTTCATCTTAGCTACCTTACTGATTGGCCTGCTCCTGGGTTTGGTAAGAAAACATTACTTTTTGTCTCAGTTAACTAGAACTCTTGCTTTGCATTATCTTGTGAAAAAAATAAAACCAACTTTGCTTATAAGATATGCTTAAATATACCTTGCTTTAATAATATATTACCGAATACTAATAGTTCTTCCCTGTGACATCCAGAATGTGTGAGAGTGGATTAAAGCTGTTCCAGGGAGGTTTAGACTGGGTATGAGGAAGCAGTGGGTGGTTAAACACTGCAAAAGGCTCCCCAGAGAGGTGGTCAGTCCCCCAAGCCTGTCACTTGTTAAGAAGCATTTGGACAGTGCCCTCAATACAAATCAGTTCACCTTCTTATGAAATCTTATCAAATTCTTATGAAATGTTTAAATTTAGTTTTGTTAAGTCCGTCCACTAAAAAGAGTGATTCTTGTATTAGCCTTTTTGTATCTAAGACTTTTCTACTTAAGGGTGGAATGTGTGTAGTCAGAGTTGGTCAAGACTCGAACTTTCTAAGAACACAGGCTTTGTGAAGAGTTTTATTAACCACAGAAGAACTGGTTTGTGGGAGTCAGCAATGTAAGTGTTCTGCCGCACTGTTACTCAAGATCAAAGGATGAAAATATTTTTTAAGGCTTTGGAGGTTTGGGGGTTTAGGTTTTTTCAGATTAGTTGGCTGTTCCACAAGTGCATTCTGCAACTGCGAGGACAGTTCAAACAGTTCTGCTGGTAACTGGTTTAACCTTCTGCTAAGTCACTATTCCTTTTAGGATGTGGAAAAGTTGTTTCTGGGATGTGTATCTCTGCCCTTTGAATATTAGTGAATTAAAGAAAAATTTTGTCAGTGTATTTCCAGTAGTTCTGGGAAGTGATTTCAATGCAGATGAAATTTGAATTTAGGCAAAACCATGTTTTTATACTCAATGTGCATACAGAATTGTTGTATACAAGCAAATGTTTTTGATTATTTAATTTCAACAGCTGCATTTTTCTAGATGGTAGATTTTCACCAGATGAGAGCAAGACAAATTAGTGTAACTAGGAGCAAGTGAATATCATGTTATAAAAGAAACTCTCCTTCTTAATTCTTCACAAAAAAACCCCAACTGAAAAAGCTGAAAAAATGTGAAGTTAATCTCCCAGCTCTTTCCAAAAAGCTTTTCAATGATTGAAGTATATTTCTTTCACATGATGTCAGCTCTGTCTTTTTCTTTGCACTATTCTTAGCATGTGACAGCGAGGCACAAATGTCTTCCTTGCATTTTGAGTTCTGCACTGGGCTGGTCAACGAATGAGCACAAAAGGTGGAACGCACATCTGTACTGGGGAGCCAGGGATAGGAATGGAATAACATCCCAAAATACAGGAAATCTTGACCAAGGTTTTTTTATAAAATTTCAGAAAGTAAAAAGTCTCAACTGTGCTCTGAGCTGTTCTTCAGCTGTGAGCAGTGTCAGTACTGAATAAATTTAGGAAAGTAGGAGGCAGAAAATGGGTAGTAGAAGGCAGGGAATGCTGGTTAGTACATAGTGAGAATGCACTTTTTTCCATGTTTTTATTTAGCTCTTATCTCTAAGCAAGGTAATACAATTTTGTAAATTTGATTGTGTATATCTATCTAAAAGGAATGAGTGCAGGGACTTTTGCAATTGCTAATAAATGCCATTTTTATTATTGCCAATGAATGCCTTTTTCCTTTCTACAGGTCCTTGTTTTGATTTCAGACTGCCTCTGCCCAGCCAAGTCAAAGCACAGAGCTGAAACACCTGGTAAGAACACCTGGTAAAAAGGGCAAGAAGCTGTAGTTTCAAGTGTATATTTGTAGGAGGAAGGGCAATACACTGTTCAGATCTTAGATGTGAACCAATAATCCATGAGCCAAGTAAAATTGGTTTCTCTTTGGTTTGTAACTCATTGGGGTAAAATGAAAGTCTGTCTGTGCCTGACATGCAAGGAAAATAATGGAAATAGAGAAGAAATCTACTGAAGATTTAAGGAAATGACTGACAAATAAGGAAATGTTTTCAATCACAGAACCACAGAATGGTTCAGGTCTAAGGGACTTTAAGGATCATCTGGTTCCAGTCTCAGTTGGAGTAATAACTGTAATCCATTGTCATGTTCATCAGTATTTCAGTGTATGTCCTGCAACTTTAAAAGGCTTTGCTGTGAGATTCAGTCTAACTGCAGTCTGTGCTTTGTTTAGAAGAAGCAATTACCAAGGAGAACGCGGAGAACGCAGCGCTGGAGGAGCCGGAGGAGGTTGCGGAGCTTTCCGCGGACGATGCAGAAGAGGCTGCCGACGTCAAAGATCTCTCAGACGGGGAAGATGCAGCGAACTCAAGTGCTGATGAGTCAGAGGAGGATTTAGCACTTGGAAAAGAATCAGGGGGAGAAGAAATGGAAGACTTAAGTGAACAACCTTTAGCTGAATCAGAGACTGAAAGCACAGTGAGGCAGCGGAAAAGTCAGGGGTCTGAGAAGGAACTATAATTTTCCCAGTGGTGTATCTTTTACACTTGGACCAAAGAAGTGTCAGACCCCTCCAGGGTCTGAAGCTGGAGCTTACACTTGATTTGTCGTTGGTGTTTACGCAAAGCTCTGCTCTGCCAGCAGGCTCTTCTTTTTTTAAGCTTAGTACTTGCTTACTTTCTTTGATAAGCACATTTGCTGTGTGTTGTGTGACCTTAGCTGTGACAATCAAAATCAGTGTCTTATCTGTTCCATGTCCTCTCAGAGAAAAAGGAGGTGTCAGCCTCAGTTCACCAGCTCTGAAATTATCATTGTATATGTGTCCCTCTAAGGACTGACCTGGGCAAGATCAGGACTTTTAACTCCATGGTAGCTTGGCAGGACTGTGACTTTTCTGTCTGAATGTTGATTGTTCCCAAATGCCACAGAAGCACAGAGACAATTCACTAGTGAAAAGAGGCACCTTACTGGTCTTCTATCAGAAATGTTGTGTACCATGGGTTTGTTTTTACCACTTCCAGCTGAAGCACCTTTCTCTTCCATTTCCATTTGTGTTTGTTTTGAAAGTTGATCCTGCAGCTCACCCCCAGATGTGGCAATTTTTGGTGATCCAGAGGCTGTGCAGCTTGAGTTGTTTGACCCAAGGAGTTGGAGTAATTAAAAACCTCAGGCAGGAAGAGAGTGGCAGCTAAATGTTTAAAATGTGTTGGAACTTCTAGAAGGTTTAAAGGAAATTATTTTGGTCGGGGGGAAATTTTGTCAAAGCACAAAAGACTACTTTTTTTTTTCTTTTGATAATTTATTCCCATCAGGAGATTGTAGCAGGAACTACTCACTTTGGAATCAGTAAGTTGTGTTTATCTTGCCGGTGCAAGTTTGTCATGTGCAATGCAGTCCTGCCATTTCCGACTCAGAATGCTTTTGGCAGAACTCGGGCTGCTTTAGTTATGTTATCTGAAGAGGCTCTTAGGGTTTTACCTTTGATCACTTTTCTACTTTTGGAATCATCACATTGGGGAAAGAGAGGGGGCACAGGTGGGTAGTGTTGAGAAGCTTTGGGCTGCTTCTATCAGAACAAATGTGCACGTGTTGAACTGTGTAAAGTGAAAACGACTCATCAGGTAAGACAGTATTGGATGTGGTTAGACTTGGGTCATTAAACTATCAGTGTATCACTCCCTTGGGTTAGTATGTCTTTTTTGGTCAGGAGTACTCTCTGTGAGATCCTGTATGTTCCTGCTTTGCTGATGTATGACCATGAACGTAAGATGTGTCCTAATCTTGATATTATTTTTAAAAAATATATACATATGTTGCATAAACCTTGCTAACATGCATGAATTTCATCTTGTTCTTCAAGAACAAAGAGTAGTCAGGGAGGAGATCATCTCCTATCAGAAGAGAAGTTGCAAGTGCAAAATGCTCATTTCCTTTGAGACTGAGATTAATAGGGCAAATTTTTGTTGAAAGCTGTTTTGTTGTTGTTGTTTTATGCTTATAAAGAACATATTTGCCAAGAAAGCTCAACTTTCCCATCTATGTCCTGTCACATATGTTTTCAAACTATATGGTAGAAACTCTGCATTTGTCTGATAGAGCTGCTCAAAGAAGAAAATTATACTGCATATCCTGAATTTGAAATTTCTTAAGAAGTACTCCCAGTCTGGAGTTTGAGTTCCATATAGTGGACACCTCTAAACGTGCTTTCACATAGTTAAAAACACAGACTTGACAATATCTGTACATTGCACTATCTTGAGAAGAGCTTGTTATGTTTGAGTGTTGTTCCATGTAACTGAGCAGTCGTAAAGCTGGCAGCTGCAGCATTCAGCAGTGGGTGAGGCACACAGCAGCCTTTAAAAAGCTGCACTTCTATCTGCAAAAACCAAGAAAACTTTGTGGCCACTACAGTGTGAAGAGAAGAACTGTGCACTTCGAAGACAAAAAGGTGTTCTTGCAAGAGTTGGGTTTCCCTGTGGATTTCACAAGCAAACAAACCCATGAATGGCACTTTGTCCTAGAAGGCATATGGTCTGTGAGATGCTGTGGGAGAGATCAGAAGCCCCTTTGTGTGGTGGGTCTGAATTCTCTGCTCACGTTTCCTCTGTTGTGCATGTCACAGTTGGGTTTGGATCATTAAAACCAAAGATATGAAGTGTTTTCCATCATGACAGACTGAACTGTAAGATCACTGATGAGCAGGGATTAAGTAAGCAGACAGCAGGTGACAGCAGCTTAGATCTCTCTGGTGAATCTAGAAATTAACTTGGTCAGGCTTCTAAGGGTTCTTGAACATAGGATGGATGTTGTTCTTGTGTTTTCATGAATCAAATAGGGAATATTAATGCTGACTGGGTTTGACCCTATTTGATGTGTATTGGTGTATCTTACTACAAAGATCTCTGAATTGTGGTTAAGGCTTTGCTTAGAAAAGGTGATACTGTGCAACCATAGATCTCTCCAACTTAAGTTTACGTTTGTAGGAAAATTGCTGTAGTGTGATACTGGAGATACTCAGTTTTGACTAATATTTATCTGGGAAACAGCAGGCAGAAAACACTGTAAAGGCTAAATTTGTGTTTAACAGAAAAACTATTAGCTGTGCAGTAGAAGTGTCATGTTAATATACCTTCCAGGATCAGGTATTTTTCCATTAAAACGCATTTTAATTGAATCATGTGAGTAGTGCTAATTAGACTATGACAATAGTTTTAGACTTGGTGTGTTTCCAAAAAGTCAGGATCAACCTTTTGTGCAATCTGGGTGTAATGTTATCTCTGTTCTGTTAGGATTAATCATGAAGAAATTGAATTTGTTCTTGCAACCTCAGTATAGACAAAAGGGCCTTAGAGAAGCTGCTGCTGGCGGTGTTCAAAATGTTTTGATGAAGGACAGGGCCTTAAGGCTTGTGAACTAGAGCTGTGTGTCAAAATTAATTTAAAATTGTTGAGAAGCAATTAAAATATCAATTGGGCTGCATGCCACTGGAATGGGAATGCTTAACAGCAAGTCATGGAATAAATCTGGCAGGTTCCTTTTTCAAGAGGCTGGAAATCCATCCAGCATTCCAAACCTCCTGTCCTTGGGATCTGTGTGAAACTTGTGCGTCTTGGAATGCTCTGTATCTACTGCCCCTGTAGGGGTGGCACTTGTTATGTGAGTTTTCTTCTTGGAAATGTTACACGGGGTTGTCTGTTACATGAACGTGTTGCAAATTTATACTTGGGTGTATTTTTACTGAAATGCCACATAAAATTTTGTATTTATGACCAGCTTGGAGTAATTTTCATTTCCTCAGTGCAGAGTTGGCTCACCTATGTCATTAACAAAAGGTTGGGTTTTTTTTTTTTTTTTTTAATAATGCTGATCTTCCAATTAATCATAGAGGTTACGACTTGTGAAGATTCCTTAAAATCTTTAAAAAGAACCTGGACATCAATGAATTGCTTCATTTTGGAGGGTTTCCCTGGAGGAACCCAGGGCTCTGAGGTTCAGAATGGAACTGGGCAGAACAGCATAACTGAGCCCTTAAAGGCTTCACCTCCACACGAGGTAGTTCTTTCCCCTCCCTGAGAAATCCCCTAACTCTGCCAAAGCTGTGCTGACTCCCTCTGGGATTTGGAGGCCAGCAAGAAATGTACAGACCTAAAGGTGCCATCCTCAGGTTGTGGTTCACATTCCAGGCAGTGCTGCAGGAATAGGCTGTAGGGGCAGCTGTGCCAGATAGAGAAGAGACTGCCAGGAACCATCCCTGTGACCTCCTTGGACAGTGAGCAGCTACTGGATCTGGCACCTGATTCATTCTGCTCAGGTGAGTTACCTGAGCTGCCTCTCCCTGTGAAAGAAGCAGCTGCAGGGCCTGGGTCGTTTTCCACTCACTTTGGTTTTCTTCTTTTCCACTGTGTTCATTTCTGGATACAAAGTGGAAGTTGGAATGGTATCAAATGAAGCCTTGGGAGCATTTTGTTTGCTGTCTTGTCAGCTGCTTCTTGTTCTCTTATGACGTGAGAATATGAAATTTTCTCCATGAAAACATCACATGGAATATTACTACAGGCAAAATTAGGTCAGGTTTTGATCAGGTTCAAGCAATCAGAAAAATCCAAGCTCTAGTTTTGTATAGGAAATACTGAAGAGAATGGAAGTGGTAGAAAAACTTGATTTTTCTATCTGGAACTGGACCAGTGGTAAGTCCCAGCTCTGGGAATGCAACTGCCCAGTAGTGTGTGCTGTCATTTTCTTCTGCTGGGGAGTAAGTTGTATTTCACTTCAGTAAGTACTGTGGTGATTACTTATTTTTAACCAAACATCTTCATTCCTCTCCCATTAGAAAAACACCTAGAACTCTCTGCTTTTACTTTTACTTCTTTCCTGAGGAGAAAGGAAAGCTCTGCATTTAAAAATTCAGGGAACAAATGGGTATGTAGTTATCCTAATATTTTCATTTAAATTTCCATTTTACATGGAAAGGTTGTTTTTAATGGTTGGTTCACTAGAATTACTTGGAGCCTGCTGGTACTTCAGACTTTTACATCTGTTGTTAATCTGGATTCCAGGGGAGTATGGGAGCTGAACCTTTGCACCACAGATTTTCCTGGCACAGACTGGGCCAGTGCTTCACATGCTTGCAGAGGATGCAGAAAAGAGCGGCCATTCCAAGTGTCAGTCACACATCAGGAAATCACAAGATCACCCTTGATAAGAACACTTTTCATGTCTTTGTTGCTGTGGTTGCAGGCACAAGAGTAACACTGAGTCTTTATAAATCTGCTCTGGATCGGTTTCATTGTACTCAGAACCATCCAGCTCCTCCCAGGAGATTCAGTCCTCTGCTCAATGCTCCACTCTTCTGCCATCCCAGCAATCTCCAGACTTCTAAGCTAACTTCCCAAAATAGGCATCTAGGGTCCTGTTCCAGCCATCTGCTGGATGGCCAAGGAGCTGTCCTCGTCCCTGCAGCATCCGTTGGCTTTGACTCCCACAGTGGAGTTGCCAGATAGCTGCTGGGGTAAAAACTCCACAAATATTTTCTGTTGGTTCTCCTGGCTGGCTTGGAGGGGACCTAATGAATTGGTTCAGCTTTGACTGATGTAGGATGCTGTCCAAAAACACTCTAGAAAATGGGTATTTTATGACTTTATTTGGAGAAATTGTTTGTGGGGAATTCAGAAGCCAAAATAACTGTTTTACTTACGTAAGGTACTTGATAAAACAGCTTTGCACAACAGTCTTGAGAAATGGGCAATGGCTTGTACACTAAAATATTTGAATTATTTGCTGCAGTTAACTTCTCCAGTTAATCTTTATTGCAGCTAACTAAAGGGAGAAAGTCCCAGCTGGGTCATCTTTCCCCAGCAGAGGTTTTCTTGTGCTGACAGGAGACTGTTGGTGTTGTCTCTCTGATCCTGCAGAAGGACACAGGTCCAGATTGGAATGCTGTGCAGAAGTCTCCCTTTCTAGCAAGTCACAGCCATCAGGACAAGCATGTTGTGGTTTTTCTCTTAAGTATTTTCGGCTTTTGCAAGTAGTGCGTTCTAAGCCACAAGCTGTGTCTCTGTTCAATACCCTCTGTGGGGTTTTTCCTCTGGAATTTGTGATTGATCTTTTTAACCACAGTGAAATGTTTCCTTTGCAGAGCCTGGATCAGCTGAGCTCCAGGTGTGACCCCATTCTCTGTTTGTAGCTCCTGCCAAAGGAGTGAGGGAGAAGCAGGAGATGAGGGAGGGGATGTTCACACGACTCTGTTGGTTTTTTGACATGGACTGTGGCAGTGAGGTTTGCGTGGTTGCTCGGGCAAGCTCTTTGCTGTTCAGGCAAGATTCTTTGGCTCCAGGGTTAAAGGTCAGACAGCTGATGCCTCATTAAGCAGCCAGGGAAAATCTCACCCAGAGAAATTCATTAAAATGAGGAGCCAATTACTTGGAGGGAAGCTGTGTGTGGTGGTGTCAGATGTGTCGGGGAGACCTGGCATTAAATTTCACGTTTTCCTTAGTTTTGTTTCCCTTATGCTGATACTGGCACCTTCCACCTCACTCCAGCTCAGCAGCTAGCCAGCATGGGAAGTGATGGATCCTGCTGGAGGTTCCAGTTCCAGTTGGACCCCTGAGCTCTGTGGAACTTCCCAAGGTGTGTTGGCTGGATTGCAGTAGGAATTCAGTGGTCCAAGAGAGGCTTCAGGGTGTGAGTGGCACATGTGGGAGATCCATAAAGGGTGGCACCTGAGAAACTTCAGGGGAGGGAAGAGCAACTTCTAGCTTGAGTGGCAAATAATGACAATTAAAGTAAATCACTGATATCCTGTGAATGTGGCAGAGAAGCATCTAAGTGGAAAAATAAATATCAAGGTGGGAAGAGTTTTGAAGAATACAGACATTATAGAACGGGGAGAGAGGAACAACGGTGACACACTGTTGTTGCCTCCAGAAATTTTTGCAACTTTCCAACATAAGAACCTTTTGAGTGCATTAAGGTTGAGTTCAGCTGCACATATTAGAATGTCCAGCTATCATGCAGCACTTCCTGTCTCATGCTCCAGGATAAATACCTGTTTTTAGCACAAATGATGCAAACTTTAAATAAATGCAAGCAGACGTGTCCCCAGTTTTTTGCTGCAAGTGCAGTGAAATGCCAAGGTTAAAGCAGTTTGCATTTGAATTGTTTCTGACACTGATATGTGACAAATGCCTCGTGGTGTAATTGTGTGTAAATTGATATTAATGTGCAGTCTGCAGCTGAAAAAATGAATATATACACATGATATACTCTTAATTGCCCTGTCAAACAATTACTATAAACCTGTTTCAAACTCTGTATATTTTTTAAAATTTAAACCAAGGAGAAATCAAGAAATGTTAACCAAGTCTGTTACACTTTGGATGAGGGCTGTGTCTTTGATAAGATGATTTTGTTTCCAAATGATGAATGCATCTGACTCTTTAATATTGTAGGAATAAAGAGAGCCCTCTGGGTTGTGGAGATGGAATTACCTGAAAATGGGGAGCTGTTTGTCCAAGGATGTCTGGCAGGTGGGTCTCTGCAACTGGCCTTGGTATCCAGGATTTTAATGGAAATAACTGTAATCTCACCTGTGTTAGGTGTTACCCTAAATGTGCAGGCTGGGACCTGCTTTTAGAAATCATCCAAATCAAGACTTTGCTTTTTGGGCGTGAGCAAACTCTGCTTTCAGTCGCCTGGATATTTTGGATGATACATCCAAATTCCTCCTGTTACTGGAGGAATGTATATATTTCTTTCCTTGCTTACTAATTTTCTTACTTTTTACCATATTTTATTCTGTTATGCTTTAGGTTGGCCTTGACCACATGAACTAAAAGATGGTGCTGAAGTCCAATATGACACAAGAAGATGGTGTATTTATTTTTTTTTGGGAGGGAGAAATGTAGACATGTTGACTCCTGATGAGGTCCCATATTAATGATTTACAGGCAAAACTCCAGAGTTTAAAAGCATGGGAGTAAACAAACCCAGTGAGATCTGCAGACATGTCTGGCAAGCCAGTGTGCATTGCAGATTTTGAGGAGTATGCTAAAAACTTTCTGCCCAAATACGTGTATGATTATTACCGATCTGGGGCAGATGACCAGGAAACCCTGGCTGATAATGTCGCAGCGTTTTCCAGGTAGGAGGATGATTGAAGGCTGGGGTGGGAGGCAGGGGGTGTAAGTTCTGTTTTATTGGTAGATGTGGTGCAATTTTAGATTTTTCTCTGTGAACAAAACTCAATTTTTCTGCAACGTCTTTCTATTTTAGCAAAAAGACTCTCAACTGATTTTCAGGACAACTTTCTCCCCTTTCACTCCTCCACCTAACAAATTCTGTCAAAAAGCAGTCCATAAAATCCATTAGCACCTTTTTAGTTTTGCCTGCATTTGGGTTCTTTTGTTAACAGAAATTCTCTCCAGAGTCTTTCAGCTCCAGTATTTAATCAGCCAATGAAACTGTAATTTGTACATTTTGGGTTATAGTGCCAGCAAGGGGTTCTTGGGGTGGGGTTGTACTTTTTAGGTCCTTAGTCAGTTTTGCATTTTCCTTAGATCTCCTAAACTGAATTAGTTCTGTGGCCTTCCCAGATGAGAGCTGCAGGAAGGAGTTGCATTTCCCAACTCTGGGGTGAGCTGGGAAAGCCAGGGTTCAGTCCTGGGTGGCCCAGCTGCGCTCAGGGGTTTCCAGCAGGAGGTCAGCCCTTCACCAGGAGATACTGTAAATGCTGGGAACTGTTCTAAACCAGTTTTGACTTTGATCCCCTGAACTGTTGTCAAAACCTGGGCTCAGGTCTCCCATAGCCTTAGGACAAGGTTAGCACAAAGTCAGTGGGCACTTGCTGTGGCATTCGGTGGAAGTGTCACAACTGGCATGGGATTGGTTGGTTTCCCTCCTCCCAAATGTCCCTGAGCAGGGCAGAGGGAAGGAGGCAGCTGGAGTCTGCTCCCCTCAGCTTAGCTGAACCCAGTCAAGCTGCTCAAACAGCTGCTGACATCTCCTTCCTGCTGGGGCTGTGTTGGTGCAGACGTTTTAACCCCCTGCACTTGTCTTTGCAAAGGCTTTGTCTTTAATTCCTCTAACAAACCAAACCATGATTGTCTTGGTTTATCCTTAGTCTTTCTCCCTCCCCACTTTGCTTCTCTGCAGTCCTATTCAGTGCTTCAGTTGCTTTCCCATAGGCTATGGGCCATTCAGCTGGAAACCTGATGCAAGTTGAAGGTTCTAGAAGGCTCTGTGATAATTCATTTAGCTGTATCTCAAAGGTCAGAACCTTAATTTTAAGGATACATATAGAAATGTCAAGAAAAGACAACTCGCCTCCAGTGCTTATTCCAGACTTCTTAGCTCCGTGCTGCCATCACACAAGTTCCCCTGCTCAAACACAAACTAAAAGATTACCCTGAGTAGTGAATAGGAGCAGGAGGGGATGGAGTAGCACTCACCTGATTTTTATTGTGCCTTTTTTAATGCTTACAGATGTTCTGATGGTACTTGGCCTCATAAAAGCAAAATGAGACATTAAGGAAAGGACACTCCAAGGAAGCACTTGCAGACAATAAACAGCAGGAGCAGTGAATGTTTGACTTGTAACTGCTGAGGCTGATCATGATGAGGTGGGATCTAAAGCTGCTAGGGAGAGGCTAACAAAGAGCTGGGCATGTCCCATGCTGTGCTGGCATCAGTGGAGCTGGGTGTTGGCGGGAGATAAGGGCAGCTCTGCTCTGAAGCTGTTCCTGCCACAGGGATGGATTCCTCTGATAAGAGACCTCCTTACATCAGGCTGGTTGCCTGTGGCCTTCAGGCTTACCTCATCTTTCCTGAATCTTCTATCAGGATTTCAATAAAACCTTCCAGTTTTAGGTGTTTGAAACTGATGTTTGCAGATGGCCTGGGACTGAAGGAGATGTTCATTAGCAATGCCTGACACATTAAAAGAAATGAATGACATTTGGTGTGGCTGAAAATACCTCAGTGCTGAGTCCCTGCTCCTCAGCATAGTGGGGATGAAGGGGCTGGGAGGTGTTTCTTTTCTCCCTCCCCTTGTATTTATCTGAAATAAAACAAGATCCCATTTTCTCAGCACGTGGTATGCTGCCATAAACAGTCCTTAGGCCATGTTTGCAATGGCTTCCTGGGAATACATCTCTAAAAGGTAGAACCTGCTATAAAGACTTTGTAATATTTTGGTTTATAAGAGCTTTTGTAATATTTTGGTTTATAAGACCTATTTGACACAAGGGACTTTGAAAAACCTTTATTGGGAGAAGCATGGCCCAGCTGTTACAGATGGGGCAGTGCTGCTCTGACCCTCACACAGTCCTGGTGTTCTGCCTATTCCTGACTACAGCTTGTGGGTAAATATAAAGTCAGATGGACTTTACACCCCAAGGCACAAAGATCACCAAGTCAGTTCATTTTGTGAAAGATAGGAGTATGTTCATCTTCATTTCCCATTGATTTTCCCTGTCAGAAGCTTAGTTGCAGAATTCAGTCTAATTTAGAAAGTTTGCAGTTTATTAAATATTTATATTTAAGTCTAAAGGGAAGAGGAAGCACAAAACTGAGCCAGAAGCAGGAATGGTTAGCTGATACCTTTATGGTGCAGGATTATTCAGGTGAGGTGTGAGGGTAGAAAACCAGTGCTGTGTTTATCTGCGAGTTCTTTTTTTTTTTTTTTTGCAAACAATTGGTTTCATTTCTGGAGAAATAAATAGATGATCTTATTAAGGACTAATATTATTCTTGTTATAGGTAAAAATGGACGCAGCCAAATTAAAAATATAAATAACAATTTTATTATAGCGATCGAATTCTATCTGAGCCAGCCACAAGGAGAAGGACAGTGCTGAGCCCGGGATTGGCGCTGGGTGGGTCACAGGTTTGACCGTTCCAGCAGAGGGTCTCCTATGCCACACACCACCCTCTTGGTACAAGCAGTTTTCATAGGGATGATTTTGCTCGAGGCCGGGATTTTGGCAATCAGCCTTTTCTTTCCATTCAAAGTCCCATATATTCATAAAGTCTCTTTTTTCTGTGTTGAGCTGAACAATCCGGTGTCCGGGAAGTGATGGGTCCTCCTGATGCAGTTACAGGGAATACGGTATTCAGATGTATCACCCTGGAGGGTTCCAGTGATTCCAATCTTGGGTCTTGCCAGGACGATGATTGCTTGGAAGCTCCTGGATCACTTTGAGAAATGACCCATCTCCGAATGGGCTACACGTATTAACTTGTAAATGAGGTTTTATGAGGGACCAGTTTCTACATGTGTGAGACAACCCTCAGTGCCGACTTGTGCATTTTCTTAATAATATCAAATATTACATACATATCACTCTACAGGTGTGAATTTTCTTTATTACATATAACACTATTGTTATTAAAAACTAACCCTAATGGGTGGTTGTGCTATTGGATCCTGCAGTATCTTTGGAACACATAATGCATTTTTTGTAGCAGCACAATTGATACTCATTGGATTATAAAATTAATGTCTTGGCCTTTTGACTTTGAGGTGCTTTGTGTAATCAGATACCAGAGAACAAACTGCCTCCACAAGGACAGTGTTTAAGATGAGTTTAACACCAGGTACAGCAACTTTCCCCCAGCTCTTCTGGGACTGAGGGAAGAACCAGCACTCAGATGTCGACATCAGTGTGTTCCTGCTGAGGCCAGAAAAGTATTTTTTATTCATAGTTCTCAAATGGCCCCGGCAGAAGTGAGGCATTAAGGCCAGAAAGGGTGATTTGGGACGGCAGAGCATATGTCATTTGCTGTAGTGTCTGCATGCCTTCTCCTTAGGTTTGTTCTGCATCCCGGAATGCCGAGTGCCCTCTCAGCCCTGTCTGGAGCTGAAATCCCCTCTCGAGTTGTCACAGAAATGAGGGGCCTGAATGGAGAAGAAATTTTTGTGACAAGGTCGGGACGCCTTTAGCTTGATGGCATTCAGGAAATCAGTCTGGAGTCTCCCCTCTGGGAATGCCAGGGAGGGGGATGTGGAGCAGGCTCCTGCTAATCGGCCCTGCCACAGAATTCCTGGAGGCCTTGGGAGAAGCTGCCTTGTTCGGTCATGTGCAAGGAAAAGCAGCTGCTGCTTCAGCAGTGCCAATGCAGGCTTTCTGCAAACGTGGTGTTACTTTATAGCAATTAAAGGCATTAAAACGGCCACAGAAGTAATTTAAACACTGGTTAGAAAAGCAAGGCTGATGGTGGGACTGAGTCAGACAAGTCTGTGAAGTTCAGGGGGAGAAAAGGAAAGGATGGAATAATAATTTAGTTGTGTTGTTGTGATGTCTTTCACCTCAGATTCCCACTGCACTGTGAAAAGAGTGTGGATGGCAAGACATGCTGGGAGGGAAGATAATTTTTCCCAAGGAAAAGCAGCTGATGCTTCACCTGGCATAGCACCAGCCCCTGCCCCTTCTGAAGGGAAGTGGAGCTGTAGAAGACAGAAGGGCAGCAAACTGGATTGGGTTTAGGATGGAGGCTTTGGCCTGAGCAATGTGTATTTTCCCAAATGTGATTCTTGACCTGCAGCAAGAGGGGATTTGGGACAACACAGGAGAGGAACAAGAAGAGCTGCTTGAAAATACAGTGCAGTTTGAAAATATCAATGTTTTTCCTGGCTGAAAGCATCCAGTGCTTCCTTCTCACCCCACTGCAAGTTAATTTACAATCAGAAATTTTTTTGAGCGTGGAGAAAAAAGGAAGAAACCCAAAAGATTAATCCCCCTTCCTTCCCTTTAATCCTTCCTTCAAAACAGCTTTTAGCTGAAGCTGCCTAAATTGGGAGTGCTCGATGCCTTCCCCACTGTGGCACCTCCCGCTTCCAGCTGGGAAGAAGGATGCATTCACTCTCAGTTGCTGATTGCAGCGCATGAGCGTGGATTTGGCTGGAAAAAAGATGTGGGTGATGAATGAAAAAAAAAAAAAAATCCAAGTTTTTTCTAAAATATGCAGGAAATGTTTCACTGAAGGACTTGGAGGAAGCAGGTGCTGTGTGCAGCCAAATGAATGTATGCCCTGGTGATGGAGAAATGCAGCCCTTTCCTTGCTGCTGTGAAGGGCACTTCCCTGTCCAGACAACACCTGGTTTAAAGTGTCTGTCAAACTCAGAGTTGGAAACACCTGAGTTTCCAAAGCAAGAGCAGGTTTTATTAAAGGATGATGATGCTCAGCTAGTGAACCTGCTTGGTGTTTTTGTGGGAGCACTCAGTTCTGGGTCAGCAGCACCCATCCAACTGGATGTTTGTTGACAGGATGTGACCTGGTCAGGGATCTCTGCTCGGGACTGCATAATTTTTCTTGCATGCACTGCTGGGAGGATTTTGGCTCTTCCTGTTTCTCTTCCCAGCCAAAAGCACCACAGGGATGGTACCTCAGGACTGACCCTCACAGGCCGGCTGTGAGATGGCAGTGGCAGGTACCAATTTGAGAAACCAGGAGCCCGGCAGAAGAGGGAGATGCTTCACATCCTTTATGCTCTTGGGTCTGACTGTATAAATGAGCAAGGTTACAAATGGATTTTTGTTTTCTTTCTTTGCTGAGAAAAGATACCTCAGGGCAGAGTGAAAGCCTTTGGAATGAGGATTAGGAAAAAAGGAGGGAGAAAGAAGTAATGTTTTCTTTGTCCCACCCTCAGCCCATCCTCCCCTGAAAAATAACAAACTGTTGCAATGGCATGAAAACAAGTGTGAGGAGACGTTCCTGCCATGTGTGTCTTGGCACTGAGTAGCACAGCTGACTTCTACAGCCACACATCTCCTTCCAAGCATCATAACTGTCCTCCCTGGGGAGCACTTCCTGGAGAGCTGGCACGGCCCCAAGCTCCAGGCCTTCAGAAATGTGGGTCTCGTCCTGGCTCTGCCCCAGGCTTTTTGGGAAAATGTATCTTGATCTTTCTATAAAACAGATTTTGTCTTTTCCCCCCTGAATTTTCATTTTAATACACAAGCTCAAGCTCACCCCTATTCCCTGTCATAGGTTAGCAGTGGCTGTGGTTTTCTCTCTCGGCTGGTAATTATAATATTATCAGTCTCAAGCATTCTGGTGCAGAGCAGTTGCTCAAGTTCAGCAGTATTAGACAATACATTTTAAATTCTTCTCTGTAATTACAGCTCAGGAGCTGTGGGAGCCCTTTTGGAGGGATGGAGGCCTCTGGGAGAGAGTGGTGCTTGCAGGGAGACTTTGGCCTGGCTGAGCTCACAAGAGGCAGCCCCAGGTGTTGCACCCCCTCTTTTGGCTTCTAGTGGTGGCAGTGCTGTGACAACACCTGGATACCTGGATGATGGGGACAAGTCCCATGGCACAGGTATCCCCAGGAATGCAACTTTCCTCATAAAACTTTGGATGTTATGGTGCTTAGTTGATCCTGTAATAAGGATTGTGGTCTTCTGATGCTGTTCTGTGTGTAGGAGGAAAAAAAAGGTAAATTTATGTGTGTGCAGACATGGTGTCCAGCCTGGCTGCAGTAAACTGTATTTTCAGGTTAAGTGTGGTTTAGTTTGCTCTGGTTTGGAAAAGGTAGTTCCAAGCCCGCTTGCCAGGCTTGTGTTACCAATAATCCCGTGTCTGTTGGTTCCCTAGTCCGTGGAAGGGATAACTGAGGGTGGCTGATGACTTTCCCCATTTGCACACAGCATCTGGCACCCAGTTCTGCCCCGAGGCTTTCAGGGGGCTGAGACTCACCACCAACCTCATTGTGTTACAGCTCCTCTCTTTCATTTCAAACAATACCAGCCAAAAATGTTCAAGAGGTCTTTGCTTCTTTCACCCTCACTGCTCTTTGGTCCCTCCAGGTTTTGTGCTCTGCAGGGGTTTTGCTGCAGCTCTGGATGGCACAGTGGGATTCTGCTCCAGCCCCACTGTCAACAGAAAAACCTTCTCCTGCCCAGTGGGAGCTGTGAATTCCTGCCATGCTGCAGCCGTTTGAAATTCAGTGTATCTGTGTGTGTGCCAGGTGGAAGCTGTACCCGCGGGTGCTCAGGGACGTGTCAGTGATGGACCTGTCCACCTCTGTCCTGGGCCAGAGGGTCACCATGCCTGTGTGCGTGGCCGCCACGGCGATGCAGCGCATGGCTCACCCCCACGGAGAGACGGCGACCGCCCGAGGTGAGCGCTGCCGCGGCATGGGGAGGGACAGGGCGGGGCAGTGCCCTGCCTGGGCATCCCGGCTGGGCTCCTCGCTCCTGCGAGGGTTTGAGCTGCTGCTCGGGGTAACCGGGCTGCTTCTCGCGTTTGTTTTCTACCGTTTCATTCGTCCGAGTGTGGTTTCCCTCTCCATAAAACTGGGTGGGGGAAAGGAAGGGTGCAAGAGGGGAATAATTTGTCACATATAAAATTGAAAACATCTCTCTACCTATCTATACATTCTATGTAACTGTAAACATTGTCACAACAACATTTTGTCCATTAGAGGTTTGAGTCTAGAAATTAATCTAACTTCTAGAGACCTTTGTTTGCCTGGGAAAAACCCTTGCTTGGAAGAGAGCTTTTTGAGAGCATCCCAGGGAGGCAGTGAGATAAGGGCCCCTCTGGGCTAGAAGCTGCACAAAGATGTTGCCAGCACAGAGGCTGCAGCTCAAAAGGATATTAACCAGAATTCAGATGGGGAACTGTTACCTACTCCTTTAACTCCAGCTGTAGAATGGCACCAAATCTGAGGAAGAGGTGTGGACTAAGCATTTCAGTGCTTCTGTGCTGAAAGGAAGAGAGTACAACACCTAAGTAGGTGATATGTAAAAAAGAAATAATCCTGTGCATGGTTTGGTTATTCATCTGACAGCGTTTCCATGCCCACTGCAGCAGACGCTGGTGTGAAGCGAATAGAATTCTCAGCCCTGCAGTGGGAGTTGTGATGTGCACGGGGGTGGGCTACAGCACAGCTCCAGCATTATCTTTGAAAAACACACCTCTCCAATTTTACAGCATGTTTGGGGCCGCGCTTTTCCCCTTCCCAAGAGCTTTATTTGGAAGCCGACGCTGTTTTCTCTGTTTGCAAGTGCCAGTGCACTCCACGCGATGGCACTCCAGCACCTCGGATCGGTTTGGGAAGGACGCCCTAGTGCTGTCCCATCCTTTGGCAGCTCCCGTGGATCATTTCTGGGCCAGGTTGTGCAAGGAGAAAACTCTGAAACATTAAGTGCAAACATATTAATGCCATGGTGAGAGCGAGATTTGAAACACAAAATTCAGGATGTTTCTTAGCAAAAATTCCCACTGATGCTGCAGCCCAGCCACATTTTAAGGCATAAATCCACAATGGCATGCAAAGTTGAGTGGTACAATAAGGCTGGGTACCACATTTTCAAACTTTAACACGTGATTTTTGCATTTGGTGTTCCTGGGTTTTCAAGCTGGGACAGCTCGGTGTACTGGCACCAGTTGGAATGTGAGGTCCAGAAAACTTACCATTGGAGCTGGTGAATTTTTAATTGCTTTCAAAGGGGGGCAGTATTAAAATCACACCCATTGCATTGGCATTTGGGGGAGTTAAAAATGGCTTTGGTTTTGTGCTGTTAGAGATGGAGTGGGGCACTCAGTGCCAAGTTTTTGGTTTGACCTTAAAAGATGATAGGAATTAGCTGTAAAGTACACATTTGGTTTAAGGGTTTTCTTAAACTTGGGACACTCAGGATCGGGGGTTTGCCACATCCAACTTCTCTTCTGTTCCAGAGGTAGCATAGAGTTTAAGTGAGCAAACTTGGTTGGTTGGTTGCTTTATTTCAGCTTCAGCTGCACCAGTTTGCACAAGCCAAGGAGGTCTGACCCATAGTTTTGTGGCTTCTGCAAAGCCTGGCGTGCTCCATAAGCTTGGCTTTTCTTGGCTCAGGTGTGCAGGAAGTGCTGTTTGGGGTGGTGCCTCTGCTGCGGTCATGATCCTTGAGAAGCACAGTGTGGCCTGAGTCCTGCCCCTTCCCAGCCAGTGCACTGGCTCGTGTTGGAGCAGAGCAGCTCCCACAGGAGCCTCCCTGTGTGCCACGAGCCTGCCTGGCTGGCCTTGAACCCCAAGGGATAATCCTGGTACACACCGTGCTGCCCTGCAGAGCAGGGTGATGAAGAGAGCAATGACAGCTCCTTCTCTGAACTTCTGGTGTTTTGAGGACAATGCTTGAGGAATTTCCTGGAGCGACAGCGTCTTGTATGAAGCTGCTCTGTTCTCCCGGCAGGTTTGCCCATGTGCTGTAGGGTAAATGTCCCTTCTGGGGACAAGGGCATGTCATGGTGTCTCTTAGAACTCCCTGCCCTCACAACTTCTTGCTCTGGGGCTTGTCAGGGTTTTGGGGGCTGCTGCTTCCTGAGGGATGCTCTGCCACAGCAACCAAGCTGGTGGAGAGGTGTGTGCACCTTCCCAGAACAGGGCAGGGTCCATCAGCTCACCTGAAACACTCCTTCATGGGCAGTTCTTTTGCATGAGTAAAGAATCTTTTCTAGGAAAAACATCCAGTTGTCATTTTAAGAGTTGCTGGTGACAGGCCAGCCAACACAATGTAAGTTATTCCAAAGGTTAGGTGACCCCACTCTGAGCAGAATAAATTGCCGTCATGGTCAAACCTTGCACAGCCTCAAATCCAGGTGTTGGATTTACGTGCACTCCTGTTAGCTAGACTTTAAAATAATAAATAAAATTTTAAAGAAGTCTATGCAGGTTGTAATAAGGTTGCTCCTCAGTTTTCTCTGACATTTGTCTGAAAGTAGCAGGAGTCCTTCCTTACAGAGAAAGCTCTCTTGTCCTTGAAACAATTTCATGCACCTTGGCAGTTGTCCCAGTTTTTCTAGGTCTTCCTTCAAGTATATTCACTGGCATTTTAGTTGTAGCTCATCAGTGTATGTGGCAATTTTCCAAAGAATGGATTTTCTGTTCAGTAGAGACTGAAAAATTGGGAGGAAAATTGTTTTGGACTAACTGAAATGTTTCATTTGATCCAAAACATAATGTTTTATTTCATTTTCCTACTGGCTAATAGTTTTAGCTATAGTTCTGTTTTGAAACAAAAGTGTCAGCTCAGGAGAAAACATTTCCATTTTGAAAAGATCAACACATGACATTTTGACTTAGGTGTTTTTTTCTCATCCTTCCCACTCCAATTTCAACCTCTTTGACTAAAAATATTTGCCAAATTTGATGAATAATCTTAGCCACTAAAGAGCAAAAGGTTGCTCTCTAAACAGTTTTCAATAGAATCCTTCTGATTCTATGGGATCTTTTTTTCTTGCTTGTCCATCAGCAGATTCACTCTTCCTCCATGCCAAAGCATCCATTTGCCACCCTGCCTTCATGCTGTGCTTGCAAACTAACATGATCCCCATGTCAACAGGACCCACCTCAAGTACACTGACTCAAAATTTTATGCACCGTCCAGCTGCTCAGCAAGAAATAGAAGTTTTTTGCAACCTTAATTGATGATGAACAGATCTGTAGCATTATTTTATTGAAATTTGTGTTTATATTTCTGCTTATTCCATATTGCACTTAATGAGTAGTTTAAATTCCTATGTTTTCACCTCACAGCAGCATTTCAGTGCCTGGCTCCTCCATGAATGGCTGAAAATCAGGCTGAGAACCTGACTGTGTTCCTGGCCAGGTCTTTTGAGAACTGTCACTGACAGTTGCTCAGGGCTGAAGTTTTTGTGTTTGCCCTCTGCAGCCACACTCAAACCCCTCTCCAGGCTGCTGCTGATGCAGGAAGGGTTTCACCATCACCTGTGACTTGACCGCACCGTTTGCTTTGCCAAATGGAGCACAGGAGTATTGACTGGAAAGCTGTTTTAGTCCCCCTGTTTTAGCCAAGTTTCTGGCAGTTCTGTCATTCCCACTAGCGAGGGAGCAACACCTTTGTTCCTTTGGCTCTTAACAGGCTGCTACTGTGCTTTTTCTCTCTGTGAAACTGAGCACTGAAATTTGGGGTTCTTCTGCCCATCAGACATGGTTGTGACTGGGAAGAATGAATTTTTCCATTTATTACATTTTGTACTCAGCCACAGTGAAAGCAGCAGGATTTTACACCCACCTCTTACCTATGTGGTAATTGAAAGATGAGGTTAATTTTGAGATACAAAAATTAATGTCAATCCACAGTCATGGAGAAGACAATATTCACATGGGACAGTGTGGCCTGGCCTGACCTGACCTGGATTTCCCCTGGAGAGCAGCGTGGCCGCGGGACTAAGTGCTGCAAGTGTTCCCAAGCAGCCTGGCACGTCAGGCAGGTCCCAGATCTATTTTGGCCACGTGTCCCTTTCCCTCCAGCCTTCTTATACAGCTGACAAAACGTGTTGTGTCAATGGGAGGATGGCAGGCACTGCTCGCACGCAGGGTTTGTTAAGGGCTGAGGGAGGAGAGGCTGACAGGGATCTCTCAGCCAAGTCTGGTTTGTCAAGAGAGCAATGTGGAGTTCTTTACACAATTCTGTTTCTTGGGAGATGCAACTCCAAGAACACGGCTGCTGCTCCTGAGAAATACCACTGTGCCAAAAGGACATCATGCTGATCCCAAAGAATGTCCTCTGGCCCTTAGCTTGGGGACAGTGGATTCACTGGATTCAGGGAAAAATGCCTGCAGTGAGGCAGTTTGACTGCTGGGCTTTAGAGATGCCTCTAAAAGGGAAATTATGGGAATTTGCCCAGCTAGAGGAAAAAAGCAGTTCCCATTCCCATACAAGGTAACTCCAACAAAATCTGCAAGCTTGAACTGGGCTCCTCTCCAGTGCCCTCCCTGAAGTATTCTTCCTCTGAGCTGCCCACAGGGACAAATTCCAAACCCTTACCAAACCACGTAAGGAAGTGATGCCCCACCAGATGGGGGGAGGATGCTCTGAGGCTTCAGGATGAAAAAAAGGCTAAAAAAAGGTTACTGCTCTGTCCCCACTGGAGCTCCCAAGTACATCCTGTCCTATGTGTTGCTACATAAAATACTTCAGTTGAGTTGCCCAAGAGTGAATGGCTTCAAACTGCCAGAGGGCAGGTTTGGATTAGGGATGAAGAAGAGATATTCTTTACCTTTCTGTGATTCCAGCTCCCTGTATGTGGTTACTACTGTGCTGTCTGCACTGTCACAGAGCCCAACAGGAGCCTGAGTGTACAAGTGTGAATGTGTCCTTTGGGCAATGTTCAGGATTAAAAGAAGACCTGGAAAAAAAACTGTAAAAAACAAGCAACTAAAAGCAATCATGCAATAGCATGAGGAAAGGCTGGTTTACAAAAACATCTCATGCTTAAACTCTGGCAAATGTCACATATTGCAGCAAGAGCATCCTGTGGGAATATGGCTGTAGTAGGACTGATTTGAAATAAAAAATAATTTGCAGCACCCCAAAAGTGAAGTGTAAAATATGGTTGTTATAGGAAATGAATTGCTTCTGTTTTCTTCAACTGCAGCTAAATGTGTGAGATGTTGGAGTGTATTTTTAGAGAAACCTAATTTAAAGTAGAAAAAAAGCCCAACCAAACCTGGCAGCACTTCAGGCCTTTGTATCTCATGGTTTTAGAAGTCAAGAAAATTGTCAAAATAAGCTTTAAAATGATCAAGATCAAGCACAGATCAACCAAAACTGGAACTGGGAAGTTTTGAAACTTTGAAAACTTTTGTCTGTGAACTTTGGATTTGCCTGAGAGATCTAAACTGCGTGTGTTCAGCTGGTGCTTCACCAGAGAGCTGTGAACTTTACAGAAGAGACGAGGGGAATTTTGTGAGCATGCTTGTATGAAAATGCCATAACCCCGTTTGGGATGGCTGAATATTCATTGAACCAAACTGCTTAAACCTAATCTTAAATGAGAGAAAAACACTTTTTCCCTGTTGCTACATGTGCAGCTAAGTTGAAAAGATATGGTGATATCCCATGATTTATATCTTCTCTTTGCCAAAAACATTTTACTGTGCAGTTTCTAACTAAATTTTTGCTTTTGCAATAGAGGTAGACATGGGAATAAAAGGAAAAAATGGAAATAAATGAATACCTAAAGGCAGATTGAACCATAACATTAACATTTCTCCCTTACCTGACGTGGGAGGTTTGCAGTTCCTGGGTTTGCAACATTCCCAATGTAGAGGGAACTATGTCCAGTAATTTAAAGGAGAGGAACGGGATGGTTACAAACTAGAGAGGTTTGGGTGATTGCTGCTGTATTTCCAGTGAGGGAAAACTGGCTAGTGGCCCTGGGAGGGTGTAACCAATTTGTTTGAATAAGCTGTTCATAAGTTTCTACTCCAAGAGGCTTGTAATCCTTATTTAATAAAATGTTGTCATAAAGACCACTTTTTAATTCCTCCATGGGCTGGGGATGACGTCTTGAAACAGAGGTCCATTTACATTAAAAATATGCATACTGTGGTAGACCGAGAAAAACAAGGCTTTCTATAATATTTCTGAGTTTTACAGCATGTTTTTCCTTTATTTTACAATTAGTGACAGATTACTCCAAAAAGAATAAGTGATAGATTCACGAAAACAAATCTGTATGAGGTTAGCTGGTGAAGAGGGTGATTTTTGGGAGGCACGTGGCAACATCCAAAAAGCTGGAAGCCTTAAATGCATTTATTTGAATGCTCCTGTTTAGAGAATCTTGCTTTGTGTTCCTCCAGCCTGCCAGGCCATGGGGACAGGGATGATGCTGAGCTCCTGGGCCACGTCCTCCATCGAGGAGGTGGCCGAGGCAGCCCCGGCTGGCCTTCACTGGCTGCAGCTCTACGTGTACAAGGACCGGCAGGTGACAGAGTCTCTGGTGAGGCGCGCCGAGAGAGCCGGCTACCGAGGGATCTTCGTCACCGTGGACACCCCGTACCTCGGCCGGCGCCTTGCCGATGTGCGCAACAAGTTCCAGCTGCCCCCGCACCTCAGGTACCTCTGCTGCCCGCCACCATGGGCTGCTGGGGGAGAAATTTGTCCTGGGGAAGGGCTCTGTGGAGCTGTGTGTGTCTGCTTGGGCTGGGATCTGCTTTGGGTCAAAACAAAGCTTTCCTGGCTCTTTGCACTCTGTAAAAGATGCAGTGTGAGGCTGCAGGCTGCTGAAGTGTCACAGGGCATTTCTTTATGCAGATGGAAATGTGTTCTTGGCTATCTTCAAACAGGGCAGAGCCTGGAGTGACTTGCACTGATGGTGAACTGGGATCCAGCAGCAGAATTGGCTGGGCTCTGAAAGGGGTCTAGACTTAGTGGGCCAAAACTCCCTTCCAAAAGATGTTATGCTTCCTTCTGTGTTGTCCTATGACACCGCTCTGGGTCCAGGGCCATGTTGCTACTGACTGCAGAGCCCCTTTTCGAGCAACTGCAACTCTTCTTTTACTCCAATACAGAAACATGTGGGTATCAGTCTTACTAAATTCTCCGTGAGGAAATTTTTTACCCCACAGTGTGTTTTGGGACATTTTATGTGTCTCAGAATTTGTGGCATCATGATTGACTTCAGCACTAAATCTAGTTCCTCCCTACTGCAGGGTCGATGAGGAATTCAATTTTAACAGAGTTAAACCAGAATTTAAACTTTGCAATGGTGCTCAAGGGTGCTGATTTGCCTGGCCTTTTGTAAATACAAATTGATAGACTGTAGAGGCTCCCCTGATAAACATATGCTGAAGTGCTGGCACAGTTCTAGCAGCCAAGGACTGGCTGGAAGAATATTTACTTGCTGGGATATCCAGGACTTGAAGGTAAAAATCTTGCAAGGTTCTTGTTGCATGTAGGTCTTGCTAACAACCACAGTCTATCATGGCACATATTAGAATTATTTAGAGCATGAAAATGAACACAAAAATGGAGAGACAGAGGGAAAAAAAAAAAAAAAGACAGCTTAATGTATTTTGAAGCAGATAAACTTTGAGGTGAGCTCTGGGTGAAAGCTAGTTTCGATTATTATCAATTAAATTGAATTGTTCTTCCTATGTCTCCAAAGACTGTTGTGTTATACTATACACACATTGTATGTAACATGTACTTAGCAAGAGTCACATCCAGAGGTTTTTCTTAATTTCCTTACCATTCAAAAGGAAGATAAGCCATGGGGTTCTGCAGTAAATCTGATTCTCTAACTCGCTGGCAAAAACCCCTCCACAGCTTGGGGTGCTGGCTCTCCTCTGTGCACTTGTACTTGCAGCTAAGAGATGGAAGTTGACAGAGCAACTTGAACTCCACCCTGATTTCTCAGTTAAAGTACAGTTTTAGGAGGAAAGCAAAAAGCCCTAATGCAACTCACATGAAAATGTACCACACTGGTAGGTGTGTGCCCTATGTTGTAATCGTGCTAGAGATCCGTGTTTTCCACATTATCAATATACACTGACGTTTTACTCTGAAAGATAAAATTAAGCAATTATGAAAATAGCTTAATTTTTAGGGGCAATAGAATTTTAATGTCTGGGGTTGAGGAGTTCTTGAACATGAGTCCAACAACCCAAAGACATTTGAGGAAAGAGGGAGAGCGTTTCTGAAGCACTTTGACCCCACCTGCCCAAATATAACAAGGTTTCGAGTGAACAGGATGAAATCAGGAGAAATGGGAGTAATCCTTAAAGGTTCCAATTAATCACTGCAGATTCCCAAGTGCTGCTCGGGCAGCACTTTGTTGCAGAGGCCACAGTGAAATTCTCCTAGTGCGGGGCTCTGCTCATTTATGTGATAACTTTTTCTTGGCTTCGGGTTTTCAACAAAGTTTCAAAGCAACAACAAGGTGCCATTGTGCTCTGAAATGTATGTAAGGCAACATTCATCCAAGTGTTGATCTGCATTTTGCAGGCCAAGAAAAACAACAGTTATTTATATAATCTTATCCATGGTTCTGTTTTTCTCTGGGCACCCCACCCTCCACAAACTAACAGCTGAAAAGCTAGATCTTGCTGAGAGACCGCTCCTTTCTCCTTTGCGTCTGGGCCTGGAGCTGAACAGAAAAGCCATGTGAAATGCTGCTTGTTGCACGCATGAAATCAGCAGTGAAACCAGCCAGGTTCCATGCAAAAACACTCATGCACTTCCCAAAATGTGAAATGTGAGTGTAAAATAGCCCAGTATGGAGCAGGACACAGTTTCAGAAGAGCAGGGCAATTGGGACATGGATGTGCTAGCACCTGTGAGATTTTGTTGCTGAAAAACCCAAGTAACAGCAATGTTTTCACACGAGCTTTGTTTCCTCCTTACATTTTGCAAGAAAATGTACAAAAGGGACACAAGGTATACAGGCTGGCTTCTTGGCCTTATTGGACAGATGAAAATTCTGAATTCTTTACAAGGCTTCATGGACATCCATCTATTTCATGGCACTTAAGAAAATTTTATTTCCTCCCTGATTCTCTATTCCTCTCATAGCTGAATTCCCTGGGTTTTAAATGCAAAACCCAACCCTATTTATTTTGCTATAGAAGTCAGACTATTACCTTGGGCCAGAGAAACTTGCCCCACATTTATCACAAAACCATCACAGAAAGATAGAAAGGCTTGGGTTGAAAGGGACATTAAAGATCCAGTGCTTATGTTGATTATCAAATGCTTTATCAGCCAAAGATTTTGGCTCACTGAAGAGTGGGATCTGATGTGCTGGGACTGGCTGGTTTTGCTCCTGTACTGCACTGCAGCAAAGCTTTAACTCAGGCATATTGAATGCTGGCATTTGGGGCCCATTGTGACTACAGTGAATCCTCCTCAGACTATTCTTCTGTGTCTTTTGTCACTTCAGGTTAAAAAACTTCTCAAGCAGTGAGCTGGCATTTTCCGCGGGGAAGGACTTTGGAGAGAACAGTGGGCTGGCTGTGTACGTAGCTGAGGCCATCGATGCCACTGTCAACTGGGAGGACATCAACTGGCTGCGGGGGCTGACCTCACTGCCCATTGTGCTAAAAGGGATCCTCAGGGGTGTGTAGCCCTGATGCTTCCTGGGGGAAGGCAAAGGGAGGGCTGCACTTCCTCCTGCATTATCAGGAACCCATCAGTAAAGGTGTTTGTGGAAGCAGCTGCCTAAAGAAGTGCCTGGTGTTGTCACCAACACCACCATTAATACGATCATGCCAGTAATTTTGTCACGGACAGGATCATTCAGCAAAAGAATTTCTTACTGATGAGTTCTGGAACATAATAGAGAATAAAAGGGCTAGCAACCAAGGTGGCTGCTGATCCAAAGGGATAAAATGTTCTGCATCAATATTTCAAGCTACTTTTCTGGTCTTATTACTTAAACATAAAACCTTTCTCTGTGTTCAGGTGAGGCTTTGGAAGGCTGAAGCCCTAAGGTGGCTTTGCATGAGCTGACAATGGTTTTCCTAGTGAGTCCCTGATTGCGGTGTCTACAAGGTCCCACTTATGGAAGGATACATCCTGTTTGGGTTTTTTCCTAGCTGATGATGCCAAAGAAGCTGTAAAGATTGGGGTAAATGGGATCCTGGTGTCGAATCATGGAGCACGACAGCTTGATGGCGTCCCTGCTACTGTGAGTACTGATGTCAATATGCTCCACTAATCTCTAATTTTCTCTGCCTTTTGGCTTCTTGTTTGCTTTCTCTGAAAATGTGGAAGCTGGCAGAAAAACCTGAAATAAGTGTTCTATGCCTTTATCCATGAGTAATACCCTCTCTCTACTTCTCTATGTATATCACATCATACTCTGAGTTAGACACAGGCTTTCCTTGGTAGATCAAATTGGAAAATCTTTCAGATTTTTTTTTTCCACTCTCCTCTTTCACATCTTCTTTCTCATTCTTTTTTTAAAAACCCTCGTTGCCATTTTGCACCACATTGAAGGTTGTATTAGGGTTATTTTTCCTCTTTTAATATTCTTTTGAGGCTTCTGAAAATTGCAGTTAAGGAACAGCTAAAGGCAGAATGAAACTCTCCATTTTTCTCCTTTCAAGTATTTTCACCTTTGGAAAGGGGAGAGAGTGGTTAAATTACAGTTTTTCCTTTTTCCTGCTCCTTGTCGTGCTACCCCATGACTTTTCCAAAGGTAAAAAGGATGTGAGAATTTCTCCATTGGCAAAAAAGAAAGAAGGAAAATGAAAAAGTATGTGCTCAGGATGAAGGAAAAACCCCAAAATTCCAGTCATCACTCATCTTGCTTCATTTGGTGTGGGAAAGCTGCACAAATAAAAAGAGAATGAAAGGGAGGGGAATCAAAGCTCAGTTGTGCCTCTCTGAGTATTTCCAATATGTTCTCGATGAAAAACCTCCTGTTTTCCATGATGGTTCCCTGAAGGGAGAGGGGAACAGATCCTCTTGTCACCTCCTGGGTATGTATTCCCCAATTTCAATGAGAGTACTTGAAACTCTTGGGCAAGCCTGTGTGTGAGGTAATCCAACAGCAACAATGTATAAGGTTGTTAAAAAACATCATTTTGAGGAACCAGTGAGAGCTCAAGAAATACAAATTAATTTTTGACTGCTGCAGCAGAAGAGAAATTTGCAAACTTCTTGTTAGGGGTTGCTCCTTTGCCACACCACAGAGCAGAGGAGAACTGTTAAAGCTAATGTGTTCCCTGGATTTAGAGTACAAAGAACACTACTTCACAATGGCTGTTTTTATAAAGTATCTGTATCAGATCATGTTAAATGGTTCTGATTTAGAAACATAATAATTTGCTTCAGTTTCGTGGGGTTTCAGATCATGAGCTGAACCCAAGCTGGTCAATATTTCTAGTGTCTAGTTACGCATTGAATAAATCTATGTTTTAATTATGGTTTGCATCATGCTTTAGTTATTAGAGCGCTTTAATGTTGGTACAGTTTGTCAGGATGTAGAAAGTGGTCTCTGGATATGGAAATAGATCCAAAATATGTCTGGCAAGAGAGCAAAACCAAAGGGAGGGGGAAAATCACAGCAAATGCCAAACTTCAAGAAAATTTTAATCCAAATTTAAAAACAAACTGCACTTTCAAGTTTCCCCCCCCCCCCCATCTTCTAGTCATTTTTATCCATTAGAAAGGAAATTAATTACATCCGTATTTGAAAGATGTGAATTTGTGTGTCTTTTGTCTTACTTCCACACACTGTTTCCAGTCTCCTTAATACTTGGCTTCTGGTGGTGTTCCTTTCCTGATTTTCATGAATAGGGACTATTTAGGTGGCCTTGTAGGAAAATTTGCCCTGTAATTAATGCTCCAGGCTTGAATTCAGGAGGCTCATCCTTTCACTGGGACCTCTTGCATGGCAAGAGGAATTATTTAATTCCCTGGTTACACACTTGTAACTTGAGACCAGAAAAAATACTTTCCCCCTTTACTTGTATCACTGGTGTAGGAGATAAGTTGAGAAAGGGGATGAGCAGAGCTCAGTGAAAGCAAATTACATGTGCATTAAAAGAAATTACTTCCGACCTTGCTCAAAACTTAGAGGAAAGTTAATTTTTTCTTATATTAATAAGTCTTTCTCTATAGTCATTCTTGCAATTAGATGCATTTTCAAAAAGGAAAATGCATTAATTAAAAATTTTCAGCCAACTTTAAATTTTTTCAGGCATGTGTTTCTCTCACTCCTTGTCTATAGGTACAGTGCCTGCCTCTGGGCTCCTGAGCTTACCCTCAGGATAAATGAATGGGAAATTTAAACAGGGAGCAAAGACGATTATTTAAAAAGTGAGCTGATCCAATTTCATCCCCTAACTAGTGAAGACTGGAAGTTGGGGAGGTAACACCACCAAAAGGCTTCCTTAGTGCTGTTGTTTCATATATTCTGGATAATAATCAGATACTGGCTTGTGTCATATATGTGTCATGGGGTCAGATGGCCATTTTGTGAGACCCTGCTGGTTCTCATTCTGTTTATGTGACTCTCCAAATAAATCTGACCTTTGTATGTACCTTCTACCCTGCAAAGTCACTGCTGGTTCTCAATACAAAGCTGTGTTATTTGGGTATATATTTAGGAATGCGACTGCTCATTAAGCTGCTGTAAATCTTGGATCCTATGTGTAAGAATTGGTTCAAAAAATAAATAGGGTTTCAGGAGCAGCCAAGCTGTGTTCCTGGTTTCTCTCTCTTAGATTGATGTCTTGCCTGAAATCGTGGAGGCTGTGGAGGGGAAGGTGGAGGTGTTCCTGGATGGTGGTGTAAGAAAAGGCACAGACGTTCTCAAGGCACTGGCTCTTGGTGCCAAAGCTGTTTTCATTGGGAGACCTATCCTCTGGGGACTGGCTTATCAAGTAAGTGAGAGAAAGCTCAAATGCATGATTTTAGATCCCTAGAGTCACTGTTTAGCCCTAAGAAATGCATATACCTGTGTGTCTGTGTGCACAGAGAAACGTGTGTGTGATGCATCTGTGTGCATCCAGATCATCTGACTTGCTGTTTGCTAAAATTTGCTATGACCAACCCTCAGGATTTATGTTTGTGCAGAAAACCTTTCCTGGCATACATATGCATGTCTATGCCTACACACATAAACATACACATAATAGTTCATATTGTCTCCTAATCTCCCAGGGTGAAGAAGGAGCAAAAGAAGTTCTCCAGATGCTGAAGGAAGAGTTTCGCCTGGCAATGGCACTGACAGGTGGGACATTGACATTTCCTCTCCATAATCAAGTTTTCTCAGAGCTTTCATTTGTCCCAGGCAAGATGCTATAGCAACTTGCATGAGGGGAATGTTTGCAATCTAAACAGGTTAGTTTGTGGAGAAATGGGAAAAAGACTTGTTATCCCTGACTTATAAATGGGGAATTGAGTAGATTAGGTGAAAACATTATTTTGGGGTTTTTTTTTTTGCAAGGAGAGCAATAAATCCATAGAAAAGTAGTGGCAAATCTTTGGTCACTAAGGAGTGGATATCATCTGACCAAATGGAGAATTTTATGAGGCAGTAAAAGAAAAGGCTTAGAGTAAGTTGGAAAATCAGGGGCTTGAACTGATCTGCAACTTCTCCTCCAGGATGCTGGAGAGTAGAAGAAATTGGCAGGACACTGATCCGAAGACATCAAGTATTGTTTTCCAAGATTTAGGTCTGAAGACTCTTGCCTTGTGTGTTGCCTGTTGTGCTTCCAGACAAAATCCAACTGCATTCCCTCTGTGGGCCTCCTCCTGCAATCCTGACTGAGGGAACGCTCTGCTCTGTAGGAAATCACTTGTTGAAGAAAGAAGTCAAAGCAAAATTTACAGGTGTTTCCAAACCTCTTGGGCTCTTAAGGAAAGCTGCTACACTGGGAGGTGTGATTAGAGATGGGCCTTTATACAAGACCAGCATAAAAATGTCAAGGTGTTTGGCAACAAATGCTGATAATTAATTTCCATGCCTGGGAGTAATTTAGCTATTGAAGTGAAACTATAAACAGAAATGCTGAAATTTAAAATGCAAAAGATGCCTCTTGCTCACTGTTTAGAGAAACTAGACTGTAGATTGTAGAGATTAAATCTTGCTTTCTTATGAACAAAGTGTCCTTTCCCTAGTGACTTTATAAGCATCTGGGCTTGTGGCACGTAGGCTGTAGGAGTCCAGAGGACTCTTCGTTGTAAGAAACCAAAAAGCAAAGAAAAATTGGAGAAATTTGGGGAAATTCAGCTCTTTAAGTGGCACAAGCCCTCTGCAATCAGACAGCTGTTATGTACGTGCATTGGATGTATGTCAGATCCTTGGCTAATGCAAATCCCCATAGCCCAAACTGTGCCAGCTGCCTCCACCTGGAGCTCCAAGTCACATTTTTCACCTGGACTGATTTGCTAATAGTGGCAAGGGAAGGCTGACACTGCCTGGGAGAGTTTGTAGAATTTGCAGCCATGTGTAAAAGGGAAACTTGAATAATTGAGGCATTAACGCATGACTTGGGAAGAGCCTAGTGGCTCTGTTAAGTTTCTATGCACACCCTTAAGTCAGATAAATCTTGATGTTCTTCACTCTGCTCATGAGGAGGATATGGAGACATGCAAGATCTGTGCCTCTCTTCTATGAACAACCCAAATATCCATTGAATTCATGAGAAATTTTGCAACTGTAAAGAATAAAGGAGATAAGACTATAGTGTTTTCTTCTTGGGTAAAACCAAGGCTAGCTCTTCACCTGTCTCACCTCCCTTGCAGGTATGGCAGTTTTACAGGGAGCAGGGAAAGGCCACACAGGTTTTGAATAGCTTGCTGTGAAAATTTAATGTTCATTTTTAAAGAAGACTAAAGAAGATAAAACCCCCTTAATTTCATGATTTCACTGACATCACCAGCTCCACCATTTGTTTCCCATCAGCCCTGTGCATTCTGACTCTCCCGCTTTGCTCAGTTTGAAATATCCCTTACTAAGCTTTAGAAGCAGCTTTGTAATAAAATGATGGAATATTATAATGTGAACTAAAGCTGGGGCTGGAACTCGGAATGGGGAGAAAACCCAAAAGGCCACATGCTTGCCCTCCAGTTGTAAAATTTGTGCTCTTATTTACTGCAGAATGTGGTCTGTTGTGTGAGGGTTGCGTAGCAACAAAATAAAGTTTATCTGTGCAAGGAAATATGAATGTTTCTCAGAGAACAGAAAAACGTAATTTCTGCTGTTTCCTGCACTTATCATATCTGTTGCAATGTGGACTGTGTCAGATGTCAATTACAGACTGACTTCAGCAAGACTGTTTATTTGAGATAATATAAATGTTACTTAAAAGAGAGGGCCATAATATCTTATGTTTACATGTTTAAGATCTATTTCTAAAGCTCAGAAGATGCCGCTTCCTGTCTTTGCCCCAGCCAGATTCAAGGAAAGTTCTGAAACTCTGTGGTTCAGTAGAAGTTCTGATGGTGAAGAAACTGGTTTCTTTACTTGTGCGTAATTCATTGTTTCTAGTTCCCCTGGGATAAGGGGTTTACATTGTTTTTTCCTGCCTGTTATCTGAAAAGCATCTCGCTGCCTTCCAGTTCAACCCCAGTAAGACTAGACAAGCATAAAAACCAAAATTAGAGCCAAATACTTAAAGGCTGTAAGACTGTTAACAGAAAGTAAATTAATTTTTTCCAGTGGAATTATCTTTTTAAAATATTCCAGAGTGAAGAGAATTTCTTTTGATTTTGATACAGCCAAACACAACTACTTCTTGAAATTATTAAATAATTAAAAAAAAAAGGTAGGAATTCTGTTTGGTTTGGGTTAAAAAGCAAAAGACTGAGTGCCCTCAACCATTTTAAAAGCTGAACAATGTCCAGGCTGAGAAAAAAAAATTTTCTCTACACTCGCTTCATCTGGAGAAACTGAGAAAAAAACCAGAGCACACAGGTGATAGTAGATATTCTATGGCTTGTGAGAGTGTTTCTGAGGAAAACATAAGTAATGTAACAAAAAAAATAGGTATCTGTAAAATATGTAAGTAGAAAATTATTTGTCTTAAGTAACAAGTGAACTCAAACTTTTAGGAACAATTAGTCATAGTCCTTAGATCAAGGTACAGAAGTAGAGGGGAGCAGAAATGTTTTTCATTTATGATGCTTTAGTGTAACTGCCTACCCAAATGTCAAATAACAAACATGATGAGTTTAATAGAGAAATTATTTTCTGGCTTTACTTTGGCTTCATATTAAGTCACAAATACAAAGAAAAATTATCTACATAGAAAAAACCTAGTAAGGGGAGAACAGTGAGTGATATTTCAGTACCCAGAAAGACAGCACTCAGCTGGTGTGCTGGGTACTGAGAAAAATCCCAACTAGTTTGGGAGGCTGGTGAATGATCAGTAACTGAATGGGTTTCTCTAATCACCTCCCAGAATGGACCAGGAACATTCCATGGAAAAGGAGATTGCAGCTTTTAATGAGAAAATATTTGTCACATGTTTTGTGAAGAGACGGGAAACCAAAAGCAAAACCTGAGGGTATGAAAGAGGAGGATGATCTGGTGTTTTTTAGGAGAAAGTGGTACTTCCCAAGAGGTTCAGATGAGAGGCAGGCTCCTACACACTGGTGTTTCATGTTCAGTCTGTGTGTGGATTTCTCTGCTGCTGGCAGTTCAGAAGTTCCCTTTTTGGAACATTGCTACAAAGTTGTCTCCTTAACCCCAGTGAGCTCCTGAAGGATTGAACCCACTGAAGAGTGTAGAAGAGGGCGGCATTCTCCACAGGATATGCAGAAACCAGTCAGGATATTTGGAGAGGCTTCAGCCCTGGTTTGGGATCTCGGCAACTGAGATCAAGACATGCATTTTTAGCACTAAGTTCTAAATAAATCAATCTGTTTCAAAGTGGCAAGGTCAGTGAAATATTTTCTGGACAGCTGATAGATTACATTGAGGCTGGACATGCAGAGAGCAGGGTTCTCCTAAGAAAAAAAACAGTATCCTCTGGAAAAGCCCACCTTGAGCAGGTTTGGCTGCGCTGGGAACATCTTTACCATGAGAGTCTGGCAGTTTAACTCCGCAGAGGAGAGCACAGAGGTGCAGGACTGTAGACTGGCTCAGCAGATGGCAGCAGTCAGCCGAGGGCTGTGAGAACATCTGACCTTTCAGATCAAAGGTGGAGGAGGAGGTTACTGTAGCTTCAGGACAGATTTTCCTCTCTCACTTGCCTATCAGTCCTTTGAAGCAGATACCTGCTGCTTTCCGAATGTTTGGAGCCTGCACACAGGGTGGAGAATCCAGTAAGTAAATAATAGAAGTCATAATTCAGTGCGCTGAAGCTGAGGAGCTGTGAAAGACATGATCTGTTTTCTTGTGACCTCCACCTCTCGCTGTGACTCCGGGACACATTATTGTGTTTTATTTTCACTAGTGGCCAAGTCAAACAAATAGCTCTGGGACTGCTAAGAACTCCACCCCCATCCCCAATTTTTCAGGTTGAGCATGAAACTTGTCTGTCTTACTGGGAATTTCTGAACATAAATAAACAGACACTTAGAGTAACTCGCCTTGATAAATGGGCAGTATAGGTCGGGGCCTGCTGGTTATGCAGGCAACTCAAAGATGAAGCCGAGCTGGGGAAGTAGGCAGGAATGGCTCTGCTTTTCTTGGCTTCTCAAATGGTTTTCAGGCTGAAATCAAATACTTGAGTGCATGAGGAAAGCTGGCTTCTGAAGTCATGATTTTGCACTGAACCTCACTGTAAGGATATCTCTTATAAAGCTACTTTTGATGTGGAAATTTGGCTCCAAACCACACTGAAGGCCATTATAAATAACCACTTCATCACAGGACACACAGAAGTTGGCTTCCTTGAACACTCCTAGAAAGCAAGCCTAACCTTATTGAGCCATAACCTCAGCTAGTGTAAATCAGAGCAGCTCCATTGACTTCATTAGTTTATACTGATTTACACCAGCTGTGACTGCAGCCCACAATACAGCAAGATATGTCAGCTTTTAAATTCTGTCACTGGGTGTTGAGCAAAACTAGTTTTAAAACAAGACTGGCAATCCCAGATTTAGATCCTAATGAGATGCAGCATTGTAATTGTTTCATGATGCTTATATGCTCCATTTTGTTTTCATTTTTGCATTGCTTCTGTTTTTCTTATCTCCTGCCAAACAGAGGAAGAGTATTGCATATGTTACATTCATAACAAATATGTTTTGCTGCATTGAGAACACATCTTCCAGATGCAAAATGCCTTTGTGTTGTAGCTCAGCTTCTTCCTTTGCATAGGTACATTGGTTATGTGCCAATATAGGAACGCCCTTGAGGGCAGCCCTGTGTTTCCCTGGGGTCTGGAGCTCTGGAAAGAGGCACCCAGAGGTTGTCCCAGGGGAACTTCAAATATCTGATTCCCCCTTAGGGATTTCCAGCTCCTATGTCACCATTCCAGGTGGGCAGGATGAATTATACCCTGATAGGACCACCCTGAGACCATCAGTACTCTGTCACAGTCCTTCATGGTGCTCAGGTAATTATCCACACTGAGTAATCAATTGGCACCTCTTATGGTGTGGAAGGATGGGGGTTGCATACAGATGGATTATTCAGCCAAAGGGAAGACATTCATATAACTACACTTGACAGTGGTTAATATTGGTTATTACTTTATGACAGCAGCAGCTGTAAGCTCCAGTCAAGGTCAAGGCAGTGCTGTGCACTGCAGAGATGCTTTTCTGCAGACAGCAGTCTCTGTTCAACAGAGTCAGAAGGGTAAATTGACAGGCAGAGGTAGAGAAAGTCTCTCTCTAAAATGGGGACAAAAACAAATGATTCCCCCAACTGAGTCCTTTAATTTTCCCTTCCATTACCCTAATTCTCTGTTCTCCCTAAGGCAGGTAACACTGGGGTGGACAACACACACCACAAATACTCAACAACCATGGGGAAGGTCCACAGGTAACAGAGCAGAGGTGGTTTAGGAGAACTGAAGGTAGTGGATTTTAAACACTTAGTTGTCATTAAAAAGGTTCCTGCAAAGCATGTATTCACCATAAGGTTTATTTCATGTAAGATGAGTCTCATTTTTGAGAACAGTCACCAAGACTCCAAAGGAGGGTGTCAAGATCCTACAATAAGGTGACACAGCATAAACTCAGCTGTTACACAAATTCAGGATGGGTATTGTGCACATCTCTATTCTATGGTCAGCAAATTAGTTCAGCATGTTCTGTTACCAGACCCAGAAACCTAGCATGGGTGTGAGATAAACAATCTTCCTAACAGGTGAAACCTGAACGCTGATCAGAGATGGGAATTCAAACAGCAAGATCATCTCCCATACCTAAGCTTCCTTCCTCTGGATCTGTACACATATTCTATCAAAGAAAGAGACTGAAGAGTGTAGGTGGGGGTCTCTGTTATAATTTTAATGCAAATTGTCACTAACTTAGGAGTTACATGTCTGCAGCCTTCCTATTAGGTATTTAAGAGCAGCAAACATTACTGAATTTGGTATAAATTCTTTTTGGCAAGCTTATGTCTCTACCCAAGAACCTGGAAGAACTAAAGAAGTGCCCTTCATACAAGAAACTCCACTGGCAAGCTTTTTGAAAGAGTTACAAGCAGAAAAATGTATTTTAGGAAAAGGGAACTTGTGTTTTCCTGAGATTGTGACCAACAGAACATATCTGCAATTAAAGAGTTCAAGCTGGCACTAATCCACCTCATTTCCTCAATGCCTGCTGGTGAGTTTGTTCCACAGCTCCTAATCCATGGCTGTAGGACTGGGGGCTGTGGCACTGCATCTCACTGTGTGCTGTGTGTTTACTGCCATGCCCACACCAGCTCCCACTGTGACATCCTTGGGTGACATCGCACAGGGAACCTGGGATGAGAAGGATGGGTGGGACTTCTGGGCAGAGTCTTTGTCCTTTGGAAATAGTTGGGCATGAGTTCATGAGTTATGGATGGGTGTGAGTGTTGCTGGGGTGTTTTCAGTGAGAAGGTAAGAGCTCATTTTCATTTTTCAAGAGCCCCCTACCCGGGATTCAAGTTGAAGGTTTGCCAGACCGGACAAGGGACCTGCATAAGTGAGACTTTGGTGGCCTGTGATACTTCAGCAGCACTTTATGTCAGCGGAGAAAGAACTGAGTCTTGTGTCAGAGGAACCCAGACCCTAGTTCCCATACACCATCCACAGTCATGGTAAGGAATCTGCAGAGGAGACTGGTAAAGAACTTCAAGTGAACCTACAGGCTCAGTTCTCCTTACCTTCCCAAGAGACACCAAAGTTTTCATAGCTTTCACTGGAACTTTTGTGGGTATCCCATCAAGTTCATAGTATTTGAATTGGTGGGACTTGCAGCTGTAATGTGAGGTGCTTGATGGTTGCTTTTATCAGGACTTTTGAGGCCACAGCTGGAGGAAAGCAATGAGTTCTGTGGCAAGGCTACTGTGGTGATTATTCTTAGTTTGGCAAGACCTGTGCAGTAACCTTCCAAATGCTGCAGGTTATTTCCCAGACAAACTTGCCCTGTTACAGACTTGGTGCTGAATCATAGAATGGCTTGGGTTGAAAAGGACCTTAAAGCTCATCTAGTTCCCACCCTCCTGCCATGGGCAGGGGCATCTTCCACTAGACCAGGCTGCTCAGAGTTTCACTCAATCCATCTATTGTAAACGGAAAGATGAACAGCCCCGGTGCATAACATGCACACTTTAATATATAAATAACCCAAATCGATTATGATCTCTGTACTTCACTCTCCGTGTTATTTATCCATAAACTATACCTTAAACAGATTTGGTCTCCCAACCTTTGCTTTTCATGTGCTCCCTGCTAGGAGGCTAAGAGACATCTCTGATAGCTCCAGCTCTAGTTTATGTTCTGGTTATTCAGTGGTGTCAGAGAGACTGGGAAGACCTCCTGGCATCATTGACAGTCCTTCTCCTGTTAGTCTAGGGACGGGCACTTGCAAGTAGTTATGTGCAGGTTTGTAACTGCTGCATAACAGACTACAAAACCACACTTGACTGAAATAATTAGCTGGCATGCTAATGAGCATAAACCCAGACAGTTCAAACATCTGTGTGCTCTGCTTTTTATCTGTTTCAAGTGTGTTTGATTTGGGCGTACATGTCCCCTCTGCCAGTATAAAACCATACTTTTGATCTATTGCAGAAAGGCCCTTTTACCATAAAGATAAGAAGATAAAGAAAATTATTCTTTTTGATTCTCAATCCTTTTTCCATTATTGTTCTGATATGGATGTGACCATATTGTCAAGTTATTATAGAGGATGTAGAGTGCATCCAAAGAACAAGGAACTGTAGAGCACATCCAGCCCCCTAGCTCATTTATTAATTTGTGTTGCTGTTTACTGATGTGTTTGGAAATCTTCAGTACTATGTGATGAGCAAAGATGTTGGCTGCAAAATAAAGTGTGTCTCAGCCAACACTGTGGCTGCTGCCATGATTTCTAGAGCTGTGGTTGTAATACAATCATTCCATTCTGAATTTGTGCACTGGATAATTTACCTTGGAAGATTTTTGCTGCCTCTGAGAAGCTTTTTGGTTATTAACACAGGACAAGCAATATGTCTATTACTACAAATATTAATACATGGGAATGGAGGAGACAGCATCCTGAGCTAGCATTTATCAGTCTCACCTTCCCACTCTCATGAGAAAATCACTATGGAGAAATACCTTGAAGCTTCTCTTTCCTTTTCTACTTGTAACCAGCATGGACTCTATTGCCACTGCCTCACTAGGTGTGAGGAAGTGTCACTGTGATTAGTTTTGTCCCCCCTTATTTTTGTTTGTAGTGCTGGCCATAGTTATTCCATCCTGCTGTGCCATGTCACCACGATAAATGCCAGAACAGTGCATCCCAATATCTGAGTGTACAGTGAAGTGTGTAAATTAATTACTCTTCACTTGTGCTGTCACATAGAAACTTCCGTTGCCCCAAAAAGATGGTTTTAAGCAGCACAACAGTATGTAAACAGCTGATAAAAACAGGACCATCAGCCTGGTAAGAATGTTGGATTTTTGGGATGTAGTGCAAAAAAACAGAGTGTAAATTTAGGGGATTTTATTTGTTGTCAAAAGCAGAAATTCCTAGTAAAATGTTTTCTACTTGTGAATTTAAATTTTCCAAATCAAGCAATCCTAAGTCCATTCCACCACGTGATTTCCACACAACAAAACTTTGCACATGTGTCTGGTTAAGGGGCTGCCTGTTGATCTCATGTGTGTAATGTGCACACTCCAAGCAGCTCCCAGATGTATGTGGGAGCAGAGGAGCTACGCTAAAGTGTGTATTCAACATCTGCCTTATAATGTTTCCTGCCCTGACCATGTTCACTTATGTCTTGAGGATAAACCTGTGTCTAATTTCCCAGAGGTGAAATCTTTTTGCCATGCAGGACCCAACACCTCTGCAGCCTTTGCCATTGCAAATATTCCAAGAAGTGAACACAGATCAGTAAAAAGATGGAGTACATAATCTTAGTTTGGAGGTGCAGGTGAGATGATTTTGAGGATCTTTTGTCACTAAAAAGAACATACAGGGTGCTGTGGCTGAAAGTTGAAGGTATTTAAAACAAAGCATGGGGGCTTTTTCTTTTAGCAACAAGGATTATGATTGTAGGAATGTTCTCAAGGCAAATGGTAAATTGTCCTTTGTAGTCGTTAAATGAAATACATTTTTTTAGAAGATATTGACAAAAATGTATTGGAGACTTGTTGATTGAAATGTTCTGGTTTTCCATGGTCAAAATTAAATGGGGTGATTGCAACATCTTTAAAACTTCCTGAGTCTATCGCCTTCCTTTAAGAAGGTGATGTTTTTGGTGGTAATTTTTTTATTTATGGCTGAATCTATAAGAATCAGAAAAGACAGGATAGTTTGCACAACTGATTTGTGCAGCCCAAGCTACAAAAAATTGTACCAGTTTCCTGATCACGAATAGTGCTGAGCCTCTTCACCAGGACTTCCCAATGGTTCTGGGCATTCAGGATTTTTAATCCTCTGTGAGCCAGTGTTGATACCTTGCTGAAGTAGACTCATTAAAGCTCTGCACTGTCATCTTGTTTCTCTGACATCTCTGCTTTTGACTTTGCTGGTGTAGCTACATCAGATATCCTGCTGTCTTGCTGACCCACAGTACGTCTGAGAGTATAATTCCACGCTTTGTGAAAATGGAACATTTCTAAAACAGCAGCCCCTCACTAATCTGCAGAGAGCAAAGACGTATGACAGGCAGTGGGGATTCCATTTTCAGGATCCAGGGTTTAAGACAGGCTTAAAGGAGTCTTATTAGAAGTGTTTTCCAGTGCACGTGGCTCTTTCTGACAGCACCCAGGTGGTTAAGAAACCAGCATTAAGAATAAAAGCCGTTTCTCTTTTCTGCACAACAAATGGTTCAAGTGTCTGGTATTCAATTCAGAAAGGAAACCTGCAGCAGTCATGTCCCCTGAAATAAACCAACCAACATTTTGAGCTGCCAACACTTCTGTCTATTACGTCAAGGCATCGCAAAGTTTAAAGCATAGCAAAGTAATATATATTTTTTTTTTTCAGTAATCCCAGGGTAAATATTAGGTAGACAGCATTTCTGCTTTGCGCATTAAAAGCCCAAATGAATTTGAAAAGCCTGCAAGTGCACTTTGGGGATTTCAGAAAGTGTCATTTGACCATGAGCTAAGACCAGGAGCTGCCATTTTGCAGAAGGGGCAGGAGGGAAAGGCGTTTGGTCTCATTCATAACTTCACAGCTACTGCAAATATCAGCTGATGAATATTTATGTTATGACTGGCAGAGGCCCGAAAAGCAAACGGGGGAGGAGCGGAGGGGGAAGCTTAAGTTAGGAAAATGGTTGTCTGATCTCTGTGGGATTTCTTTACCAACACTTTCCATGCTTGAACAGTAGCTGCTGAATGAAATCATTATGAACTGAGCCCCTGTGCAGGAAAACAAGGTTTGTCAAGACTCCGTTCGTTAGCACCTCATACTTTGTTTGAACCGTGGACATTTGCTGGGCCCTGTAAAGGGAAGTTTTTTCTTTTCAAATACTCTATAGAGTGGACCAGTCTTCTTTTGTTTAGTCATGGTTTAATTAGTATTGTACTTGAATTTAAAAAAAGTAAAAGAGGTGAGCACCATTCCTTTCTATATAACATAATCTCAAAGTAATGTATTTCTTCATATTTGTATTATCTCAAATCAAGCATTGAGAGGGGGAAAATCCCAACCTCTTCCTTTTGCCTTCACCAGGCTGTAAATTAACAGCAAGGAACAACTTTCAATAAACCTCACCAACATGACATCAGCGTTGGGATGGATCAAGCCCAGGAAGGAAACTGGCTGGAAAAAGGAACCAGTGGAAGGCAGCAAGGGCTTAGCAATGTGATGGTGGCTGCGGGTGGGCGGGCTGAGCCCCTCCACAGCACAGGACCACAGGCTTAGAGGTTTAGGGCTTCATGAAATGCGAAAGAAATAAGTCAGGCAGCCCGAGTTAGATACACAGAAAAAATATAAATGCCCTCAACCAGTTGGTGACCTCAGAAAATGCTTCTGCAGGGGTTCTGCAGATTCACCACCCTCTGCTTCAGAGGAATAGGGAAAAACCTGGATTTTGACTACTGTACTTCTTCAGAAAAAAATCTCTAAACTTGGGTCTAATATGTTCACTTTTTCTCTGGGTACTGGTGTTTCTTATACTGCTTATTTAGAGACACCTCAATGCCTTTACAAGAAGGAAAATCTTCATGAAAAGCCCACATGCAAGAAACCACTCAAAACCCACTCTCAACTTTCTTTTATTCCTTACTACCCCGTTGGAAGATTCCTGTGTGTCCCATCTACAGGAACCAGCAGATGGTGCTGCAATACACCAAGTATTTATTTCCCTGGAAAGGGAAAACCTGGGATAGGCTTACTCGGGTCTGCCCCTGGCTACTTCCAGCCCCTGAGGGAACTCGCTGTCCGCCTTCCCCCACGGCAGCCCGGTGCCATTTCAAACGCAACCGGTGCAGCTCCGCTGCTTCTCGAAGGTGGGCGGGAGAATGTCCCCATCGTTATTTCCGAATATCCGAAGAAGTTTCTGGTGGGGAGGGGTCTTTGGGACTGAGGGGAAGGTGTCTGGGGAGGGGTTTGGGAGCGGCAAGGCAGCCATGAGGCCCCGGCGCTTTGCCCTCACGGTGAGGGTTTTGGCTGGCTCCCCTCAGGGAGGGCTCCCATGTTTGACTCCTTCCCCGCCGCTTTCGTCGGTGCTAGGTTTGTGCCCGCGGCTTGGAATGAAGGTGCTTGGGGTGTAAAGAAAGTCCAGTTTTTCCTCAAATTTTTTTTAAAAACCTCAACCGCTCAAGAAATAATGGTGAATCTGTGTCCAGCCTGCTACCAACCCAAGAGGAATCTTGGGGTGCTTCCCTTCTCTCAGGGTGCTGAGGGCCAGCCAGTTGCTGCCGGCGCCACATGGCACCAGCCTCTGTGGTGAAAATAGTGAGGAAAAGCCTCCCCATAAAAGAACAGGAGAGAAACACGGGAAAATTGGACTAAGGTGCAGAAACACATGCAAGGACAATGAGCAAGCAGGGCATACTCGTGCAGGGGCTCTGTAAAACATGGCAGGGTGACCTAGGACCAGTGTGGATGTGGTGCCTTTTTTTTTTAATAGAAAAAGTTATGTGGAGAAAAGGCAACTTCTTGAAACATTTAGTATTTATTTCTGAGATGGTCCCACCAGCACCTGTAAACCCATGGTGTGCTGTGGGGAGAAGGGGTTGAGGAGCCGGGAGGGAAGGCACAATAGGGAGGCAAAGATTAGGGAAGGATGTAGGACAACCCTGTGCAGCTGTTTTTGTTATACTACCGAGCTGTAAAGTTGAAAAATGATTTAAAAAGCAAGGGATGTGCCAGGAGTACTAGTGTGTCCCGCTTATGGACACTTGGGGCATTCTGTGCAAATTGAACTCCCCCCCTGTTTTTTTTTGATGGCTTAATATTGCAGAAGTGGAAGGGAAGAGCAATAAGACACTTGGAGTGTGGAGCCTTTTCCCCGATCCCTCTGGCATCAAACTGCACCTGAGTGACCTGAGGACAGAAGCAAAGCTTGCCTGCTCCCATCTTTTCATTGCTGTAATCCAAAATGTGAAGGTTATTTCAGTGTGGAGGCTGTATGTGAAAAGGTTCTCAGTTTTGGGGGATGTTTTTAGTTAAAAAAAAAAAAAAAAAAAGCAGATGGGACGAGAAGGATAACCTGTGTATGATTCACTGAACAGGAGGGGAGGGGCCTTGATGGAGCTGGAGCTATTTGCATCCAGGGAATGTGGGGGCTGTACCCAAAGGTTTGCACACTGATGCTCCACAGACTGCAGTTGCAGCTCCCAGGACTGAGACAGCCCACATTCCTTTCACAAGTAAATAGTAAAACTTTTCTTTTTACTGCAGGGTTATTTGGTCATTGTGAGTCATGTGTGTGTGTTGGTGTGTGTGTGAAGGCTTCTGGTTGGGTTTTTTATCTGCTCAGTAGCTTTTTGGGAAGGTGACCCAATTGTTTCTAATCAAAAGCACTGAGGAAAAACTGTTCCATAAGAGAGGTTATTCATCTCAGTGAGGTAAAAAGGATGGAAAGACAATTACTGTGTCTTGTGACTAATACAATATGTGACTCAAAACATTAAACAAGAATGCTGCTGATGTAATAGCCTCATCCCCTCAACTTGAATCCAGTCTGAAGCATCAGGCTGAAACATGAAGTAGTTCCCCTGAAGCCAGGCTGCTCTGGCTTTGCATCCAAAGCCACTGAAGTTAGTCCATAACCTAGAGGAAATGGAGCTGTTTAAGTGGTTAATTCCTATTACAAACAAAATTGGGAGATCTCTACTGTAGTCTTTATGTTTTGATTTAGCAGGTAGAAGGCAGAGTTCATAAGAAGCCTCATGGAATCACGGCCTGCACCCTTTCTGGAGGCTCCTGCTGTGGCTCAGGCAAAACTTGCCAAGTAATCTCACCTTTTCCTCCTCGCCAGACTCTCCTTTGCCATTCTTGGATTTGATGCAGATTTTCATTTCATCTCTGTGTGGGAATGGATGCTGGTGTTCCTTTTGCAGGATAAGGGGGCTGTGAGGTGATTTTTCTGTCCTTTTGCAATGTGCCTGTGCATGTGTCTACTCCAAATGGTTTGAGGAGCTGAAAATCAGAGTGCAAAAGGATGAGTCCTTGCAGGAGCTCCTAATGTGCAGGGTCTGCAGAATCATAAAAAGGTTGAGAAGGACCTTAATGACCATCTCATCCCATCCCTCCTGCCATGGTCAACAGCATCTTCCACTAGATCAGGTTGTTCAGGATGACATCCAGCCTGGCCTTGAGCACTTTGAGAAGGTGAGCTCTGTGCAATTGAACAAATAATTTAACTTGTCACATTTATATTTCAGAATACAGCTGTTGGGGTGACAATAAAAATTATTCTGTAAGAAAATTGGAAAGTTATGGGGAAATTCAGTGAGTATCCCAAAGGACTTGAGTTTCTTTTCAGTGAAGCATTAGTAGCAATTTTATTTGTTATATGAAGTGAGGTGATTCTTCTTTTGGAACTGTCAATGTTGTTTCAGGTGCAGTGATGCACTAGTGTGAGTGATACTCTTGATTCTCTGTATAATTTGGGTGATGCGCTTGATACCCTGTATATGAAGAAGCACAGTTATTGCAGATACTTCCAGCACTTAAGGTTTTTCAAAGTTACAGCTTGCAAACATTAGTTTAAAAGAGGCAAGCAATTCAGATTTTAAAAGTATGCTAATTACAGA